TTCTTTCGCGTTGAATAGTGACTTGGGGTAGAATTTTTAATTATTTAGGCTATTTATTAATTTCTGTAATTGCACATTTGTCGCAGCCAATCTATGTTGTAAGTGGTACTTTTCCGCAAAACACTCACCTCACATCACTCCTACTCTAACTCTCACTCTCACTCCCACTCTCATTCCCAAAAAGCCAAAGAAGAAAGTTTCATTGTTTTAGCTTCAAAAAACCAAGAATATCTATACAAACTTTCAACCCCCCCACCACCCCCTTTAACCCCTTGTCACAATTAAAAGTAGCCTATGTCCTTTCTTATGGTCTAGACCATCTATGTACCAAACTTCATTCAAATCCGTTCAGTAGTTTTGGCGTGAAAGAGTAACACGCAGACAGAGTCACTTTCGCATTTATAATATTAGTAAGGATGTGTTGCCTACCATTATATTAAGAATGGGTTCTGGCTTTGAATCTCTGGGAAAAATAAATAAGTATGGACTAGAGCAGATAATTATGGTTGGGCTCTTTGTTGTAAGCAATGTGCCATACCTTAACTGATCAACGGGTCGTGGGTTCCTTTCTCACTGGGTCTATCATTTATCGTATCAATTTATAATTTTTCTGAAACATGTTGGACTTCGTCTGGAAATCTAGATATTAAATTGGTGGTACTAATATCGAAATTCTGTTCGGGTTCTAAACAGCCGTCAATAAACTTGATCGCGTTTCGGTATCAGTCTGTGGATTTTCGAATATCCAAAGTCAATAAGCTATATGTTTGTTGTTTAACAAATATTTATCGCGTTTTAAGCCGTTAGTGTTCTATTTAAATGTGTACTACTCGCATAAACTACTGACAGTATTTGAGTAGCCATTAATAAATGAGTTTTCCAGACGTAAGTGGCTTATTGATGTTAATTGAAGACGTAGTTCGTCATCAGTTCTTCACTTAATACATAGAGCTTACTAATTAATTCAATTGACAACTCGTGACCCACTCGGTGGCCATGCATCATAAAAAAGTAGAACAAATGTAACGGGTAAATATCTAATATTTTCAAGTAAAACACTTTTAACGGTTTAAAACGCAAAATGTATTAATTTCGCGTACACTACAGACGGTACTTGCATTTCAAATAGTTAATGAGTGTTGTAAATGAAATCAACCGGCCAAGGATGAATCAATATTTTTTTAGTTATTTCAAATATCGTCCTGTGATTATCTACTCAGCGAGTATCACAGTTGTAGGGCAATAAATAACGGTTTAAACGCAAAATATGTTAGTTTTAAACCGTTACAAGTTATTAAAATGAGCGAAATAAGGCAAAGGTTGCGTTATTTTTGTGGGGACGCTTTTGATACAATTATTTTGTTCTACTTTTATTATTTTTTATTAAATTATGAAAACAACCCGTTTCTTTGTAAATTTCATATACAGTATTAGTAACATTAACGACTGCTAGGTTTTTTAGTGAAATATTTTAGTAACGAATCGATAAAAATACTTTACATAAAAGGTAATTAGCTAATATTTAAAACTAACTGAGACACTAGACTTCGTACGCGTAGAATAATTATTTTGGATATCAATTTTTGTATTTGCAAACCCCCTGTTCAACTTTATAGATTTGAGCTGTTGTGAATCCGAAGCCGTAGTTCTTGGGATTAGCGCGTTCAAACAAACAAAAAATTCTTTGGCTTTATATATTAGTATAGATTGGAATTATATCCAATTTTAAAATTGGAAGCATCACAGATTGTTAGCGATCGTACGTAATATCTTAAGTAATGTAGAGATTTTCCATAAATGACAAGTGGTTACTGCGAAAAAGTTATATTGAAAGAAAAAAAAAAAATTAATAAAGCAAAAATTCATAGTCACCCTACTGAAGGGTAAGTAATACTATTACGTCAGAGCTTTAAAGAAAGTGAACGGAGGGAAATCAAATAGCGGAGAATTAAATGGTCTAGGAAAACGTCAAGTGTGTGTCGGTTTCATAACCTTAATATTAAAAAAACATATTTTTTAATATTGAGTTGATATTACGCTTATTAGCTTATATTAATTGTAAGGGTATGTAAGAAAGATATAAAAAACAATATCACGATCGGGACTCGAATGCACGACCAACTCCCGAGACGTTGCTCTACAGTAGTTAACAGTGAGTTGTATTTGTTTTTGTGTATATGAAAATGTGTTTTTATTTTTCAATGAAACAAAACTTTGTTATTAGAGTTATAAGGCGTTACGTACGCGTAGCGGAAACTTTATCGCGATTTTAAACTCGACTTGTATCTAAGAAGACTATAAAACATCAGGCTGCGAACAAAAGCGCCTGCGCGGCGAAAACGGTTCGAAAAACCAAAAAACAAGTATGAAAGCTCTATTCCTCTTTATATGATCTTAAAAAAATGTCTTTTTTGAGGACGCGGACAAGTTTAAAAAACAGAATTTGTTGCCTGAAATAACTATTCTACGCAGACGAAATTGCGGTCACAGCTAGTAACTTTAAAAGCTGAGGAGGTTGTTTGCAAAAATAAATAATTTTAATGAAACACTTAGCCATACATAGAATAATCTTCAAATAAGTTTAATTAATATATATCGCGTTTTAAACCGTAAAAGTATTTTATTTAAATGTGTACTACTCGCATAAACTACGGATAGTGTTTAAAATAAGTTATATCACGCCCAATATAATTGTTACAGGCGGACGTAGTCGCGGGCGCAGCTAGTTCAAAATAATTACAATATCCCAAGCTTAGGTCGCAAGCGGTACAAAAGAGCGGAGATATTATCATTCTTTCATAGAAGGCCCGACCGTTCAAAGCCTTCACTTGAATCTTAATTCAATCTTACTGAAGGTTTTCGAATGATTTTCCCGGACAATACGGTGCCATAATTCAAAATATTAACAGTATTTAGATTCAACAATAATGAAATTAATGAAATATTTCCCGTTGTGTAATGCCGATAATTTACTCGATACTTGTATGTACTCGGTATACATTTAAATCAAACGCTTTTAACGGTTTAAAATTCGAAATATACATATTGTTTGTAGCTTATGCGAGTAGTACACATTTTCAACGGTTTTAAACTCGAAATACAGTTACTGTCTATAGTTTACGAGAATCGTATACATTCAAATGCAACTTCTTCAACGGTTTATAATTCGAATTATATATATTGTCTGTAGCTTGCGTGAGTAGTAAACATTTAAATGAAACTATTTCAATGGTTTAAAACGTGAAATGTATGCAAAGCGTCTGAAACGACGGGCAGTACTTAGTTAAAATAATTTGTTATAAGTTGTTGACATTTTGAGATTTAAGTGCTTTATTTAAACGAAATATATATATGTTAGTTTGCTTCTCCTTTTTCGGTGTCCACTGCTACTACATAGGCCTGCCCTAAATTTTTCTAGTATGACCGGTCGCTTGCTACTTATATTCAGCGTTTTACAGCAGCCGTGGTCATGGAGGATCCCTTATATCAAAGTCAAATTTCTAAACGCTCTCATACTCTTCCCCTTCAACTCCCCGTGACCACGTACGTTAATTAACTTAACCATGGTTTTGACACTACATTACGGATGCTTAGCAGCCTTTGTCACAGCGCGACACGTCTTTGTAAAAGTGTTCACGTAACGCGAAATATAATCGTACATTTCCCGTTTTAAACCGTTTAAAGCGCTCTACTGCCAAATAAGTGGTTTTCGGAAGTAAACTAAGGGCAGAGCACTAGTATTTCAATAAAGCCTTCTTGGCTCTCCGGAATATGTACTGGCACACGTTCAAATAGTGTCAAGTGTAGACTTCGAGTGAAATGGGCAAGGTTATCCACTTACCCACTACATCTTGGCGTTTGCTTCGCCAAATATTATTTTTATTCGTTTCTATCGCGAAATACAGTCAATTGCATTGCTAGACCGGCAAGGTAAACACTTAACGGTTTAAAACGCGAATATTTTAATTTTAATTCGTCTAATATTCAGATTCAAATCTTAACGGTTTAAAACACAAAATATTATAATTATAAACCCGTCTAATATGTAACTTAAACAACAAATAACAGTTTAAAACGCAAATATTTTAAGTATGACCCGCTAATTATTCAAGGTATTTTTGACGAAATTTCAATATTTCTACCACGTTTAAATAAAACACGTTAACCGTTTTAAACGCGAAATATAATAATTATGTATAACCCTTCTAATCTTTACGTTAAACTATTGTTATAACCCGTGTAATATTCAAGAAAGAATTCACGGTTTAAAACTCAAACAATGTAATATAATTATAACCAGTCTTATATTGAAGTTAAACACATAACGGTTTAAAACGCGTATAATGCCCGACGGTACGAATGTTAAAAAGTTTAATAAAATTTCTTTCTCTATCAAATATCTTAATAGAAGTTATAAGTATTTCACATTTTTAACGGTTGAAGACGTGAAATATATTTGTTAAATAACCTTGCCTCCACGACAACGTAGCAGAGCATTCGAAACATCATTGAAATAAATGAATAGTATATTTCGCGTTTTAACCGTTTAAAATTGTTTTATTCAAAAGCAATGATCGAATCGAAATCGATCAAAATTCGAAAGCTGTCGACCTATTTCGGCTTTGGATATTCGGAAATCCACAGGCAACCGAAACGCAATTAAACTTGGCAGCTTTTTTATCTTTGGACGGTAGTTCGTGACCCGGACAAAATATCGACATTCCTACCGCGCATTTAATATCCAGATTTCAAGACGAAGTCCAAGGTGTTTTAGAAAAATTATGAATTGATTAGAAACATAGTTTCCCCGTCACCACGGCTGCTGCAAAGCGTCATAAACGTCGGGCCATTGTTAAAAATAATTTTCAAACAAGTTTAACTAAAATATATCGCGTTTTAAACCGTTAAAGTGTTTAATCAAATGATTAGAAACATACATTGTTACCGTTACACCGACGACCCATTATAAAATAAAATGACTAAAGACTATTTCTTTCCAGGTGTCCGCCTGGGTGACAGACTTGGTCCTCAACCAGGGTTCCGTGGAGGAGCGGAAGGAAGCACTCGCTTGCATTCTACGAGTGGCCCTCACGTGTTGGAATATCGGAAATTTCAACGGCGCTATGGAAATCGTTGCTGGGTTGAAGTAAGCTCTTTCATACTTATCAGATCCTGGTACCTGTTGTATTAAAGCCTTAGTTAATCCCTCTTTCAAAATACATATGTATTTTTTCTAACTTGGCAAAAAAGACCACAAAAAATATTGCCGATATCCAACCATAGATAGTGATGCCCTTTTATAGAGTGTAGTCGTAGCCATAGATAACACAGGTTTAAATAAATATCTATTGTGTAAGGACCAAACGACTTCAAGGCGTTTGTAACGTTTTTTAGCGATTGTGCATGAGTGGGACTTCTACCTTCTACTGTCGATGACTTTTCTTAAATCCCATCCTTTCGTAAACGTCAAACTAAAGCAGCGAACGCAACGGAAGCTAGCAAACATTAATATTTTTCCTCGTTTTTCCACATTTCCCACTCTTTCTGCACTCCTATTGGTCGCAGCATGGTTTATTACCAAACAATTTTGAAATTCGAATCAGTAGTTCCTAAGTTCGTTCAAACAAACTCTTCAGCGTTATAACGTTAGTACAGATATGTTTATTGTTCGTTTGTTCCCGTCAAAGAGAAGAGAAGAGAAGAAGACCTCGTGTTGTCTGTAGGGGTTTCTTTCGGCCTTCAGCTGTTGCTAGAGACTGTAGGCCGGCGGAAACTACTTGCAGACGACACGTCTAACGACAAACAGAAGAATTTTTTTTATAAGTAGCTGTTTCAGCGACTTCGTCAGCGAGAATCGTTATTTTGGGCATCCAAATGGGTAACTTGAATCGTTTTGCAGCGTACGCCTCGGAATCCCCTATTTTTTTCACATTTCTCGCTGTATCTTCGCTTGTATTAGTCACTGTTGTTTTACCCTATTAGCCTTCAACATACAAACAAATAAACCAACTCTTCAGCTATGTATATTAGTATAGATGTTTTTTATTTTAAATAAATGAACATAGACTATTTAAACTACTATTTATATATATAGTTATAAGTATTGATTGTAAGTCACTTTTAACGGTTTAAAACGCGAAGTTAACTTTTAAGTACGGTCCGATACTTCGTAGTTGCATTTCGACTTAAAATTAGGTAAACTACGAGTAATATATTTCGAAGTGTGGACCGTTTAAAATGTTCTATTTACGTTCAAATTTTTCCATATGTAATGTTTAAACAAGGATGTAGAGTTAATATTATATTTAAAAATGACAGTAGTTTAAATAAAACACTTTAACGGTTTAAAACGCGATATATTAGTGAAACTTATTTGATAAGTAAGTGTGACAAATAAGTTTAACTAATATATCGCGTTTTAAACCGTTAAAGTGTTTTATTTAAATGTGTACTACTCGCGTAAACTATAGACAGTATTTAATGACAGTCATTATTAATTCAAGCGCGGAAATCGACAGACTGTCACCGAAACGCGATTTATGTTGGCGGCCTTTTTTTTTGGACAGACAGAATAATTTACAAAATTGCAGACACCGCTAAGAATAGAGTACACGACCCTTTGATTGTGCGCTACGTTTTGAAATATTTCCCACCAATGAGGGTATGTAGGGATTAAGTCTTACATAATTAACGAGACCGTGGATCGCATAAATTTTCATTTAAAAAAATCTCATAAAACATAATTAATGACAATTAATGACTTTGTTAATACCTCAATATGGTGTGGCAACGGGTGGCTTATATTTACGGGCCGCGGGTTCGATATCCGGGTCGAATGTGCTTTCAATTAGTTAAACACATAAAGTCTGCAAATCTGGATATTATATGGGTATATCGTACGACCACAGATGAAAACTCCCCGTGACCACGGCTGCTGCAAAGCATTCGAAACGTCGGGCCGAAGTTAAAAATCATTTTCAAATAAGTTTAACTAATATATCGCGTTTTAAACCGTTAAAGTGTTTTATTTAAAGGTGTAAAGTTCAATCGCATATCGGTTCCTGGGGATTGTTGCAAACTTACAAATGGTCGACAACACATCTGGTTGAGATGTTTTATAGCTGGGGTATATTACCTTGCATCAAGTAATCGTGCTTGTCCGCCTTTATCGATAAAGGTCATTTAACATGGTAAATTATTTAAATACAACAATTTAACGGTTTAAAACGCGATGTATATTAGTTAAACTTAATTGAACATTATTTCCACTACGACCGGATGTTTCGGATGCTTTGCTGCAGCGGTGGTCACGGGGAGACAAGTTTGACTGATATATATCGCGTTTTAAACCGTTAAAGTGTTTTATTAGAGTGTGTACTACTCGCGTAAACTACAGTTAGTATTGTAAAGTATCCAAATCGTTTACGAAGTGTTCTGTAAAAGTTTCAGCGAAACACAAAATGCTTTTCGGCACGTGTTCTCCATTTGTAACTGGAAACGTTCGCCTAATACAGATAGGAATTCTTAGATTTTATCGAATGGAGGGACTCGTGAAATATATTTAAAGGAATTCTGACGGTATTCTTAGAATATTTTAGTGAGATGATAAAAAGTTATAATAGAACCTTTTTAACGGTCTAAAACGCGAAAAAATACCTCCCTAAATTGGTTCAAGTCCTGTCCGCGTCGTAATCTATATCCATACTAATATCATAAATGCGAAAGTAACTCTGTCTGTCTGTCTATCTGTCCGAAACTACTGAACTGATTTAAATGAAATTTGGGACACAAATATTCTAGAGCCTGAGAAAGGACATAGACTACTTTTAAATGCCAAAAAAGGGTTGTTAGGGGTTGAAAAGGGGGATAAATTTTGTATGGAAATTCGTAATTGCTAGAACAATGAAGTAGTTTATAAAAAAGTACTTTACCATGTTTACTTATTCTGAATACCCTATTTTTACAGTGAAAGACTGTATTTACACATGTATATTATATAATTTATAAAAGAAATAAATAAATTATACAATTTAAAAAAAATTCCCAAAGTCACTATTCCACGCGGATGAAGTCTACGCACAGCACTGCTCGTTTTAAATATGTAAGTTTACCTAATATATATCGCGTTTTAAACTGTTGAAGCGTTTTATTTACCAGTTATAGAATCAATAGCTCCTGAGATTAACGCGTTCAAACAGACGAACTCATCAGCTTTACTAATATTATTAGTATAGATTTAAAATCGAAAATAAGTTGTCTGGTTAGTCTGTAAGAAATTGTTATATTAGTTTAACTAATCATAAGAAACAAATAAAAAAACAAAAAATAACAAACAAACAAATAAATAAGTGTTACATTAAAATGTGTACTTGCGTTAACTAAACTAATAAGCATCAAATACTGTTTGTAGTTTACGCGAGTAGTACACATTTAAATAAAACACATTTTAACGGTTAAAAACGCGATATATTTTAGTTAAACTTCTTTGAAAATTATTTTTAACCACGGCCCGACGTTTCGGATGCTTTGCAGCAGCCGTGGTCACCGGGAGACGGGTACTAAAATATATCGCGTTTTAAACCGTTCAAGTGTTTTATCTAATAAGCATTGTTAATTACCTTATCTCTTTCAGGTCACACAAGCTGAAACCCTTTTGGTTAAGCATATCCGACGAACCGATTCCTGCCCTGGACTTCTTATCAGCGGCTCTCCTTTCAGCTGAATACGAACGAGCTCTGAGCAGAGCCTTGGCGATGCCCGAGTGTAGATTAATACCGTTCTTTGGTGCCTTTTTGAGGGAGCTAAGGTAAATATATTTAAATACTGTCTATAGTTTACGCGAGTAGTACACATTTAAATAAAACACTTTAACGGTTTAAAACGCGATATATTAGTTAAACTTATTTGAAAATGATTTTTAACTTCGGCCCGACGTTTCGGATGCTTTGCAGCAGCCGTGGTCACGGGGAAACGTCGGGCCGAAGTTAAAAATCATTTTCAAATAAGTTTAACTAATATATCGCGTTTTAAACCGTTAAAGTGTTTTATTTAAGTAAATATATTTTTCAATGCTAGAGGAGTGACAGCTGATTTCACTCGATAGTGGAATATACCCCTAAACAAGATGCGCTGTCGTCCTATGCCTTTGGATATTCGGAAATCCACTTTGGAACCGAAACGCGATTCAATCACGGCTCTTTCATATGTGGACTGTGGTTCGTGACCCGGGCGGAATTTCGATTTTTATGGGGATACGTTTAGCTTTGGTGAGGGTCGTTGGTATTTATAATCTTTCTGAAACCTGTTGGCCTGTTGGAAATCTGGATATCTGCTTGACTAACTTACTCTATCATAAAAAATGAGAGATGAGAGGTCTTGGGTTCGAATAAAGGGGGGGAGTGAATAATTAAACTTAAGTATTATTAATACACTTTACTAAGTAATTGGTAAAAAAATATTACACAGTATACAAAAATACTTTTATTAATTTATTTATTTTATTTGCTTGTACAACAAAACGGTTTTCGACGGTTTAAATATATCAAACACTTATATCTAACTACTGCTCCTAGCGGATGTTTTGAGTGAGAACCATTAAAATTTATTAACTACAAATAGGTATATAGTAAAATTATTTATTTTGTTCCCTCGGGATTCGAACCCTGAACCTCTCACGCTCAACGCCATGCTAAGCAACACGTTTAACCATTTAGCTACGAAGGTGTTACGTACCTTTTTGTATACAGTAATACCCTGACATACGCTACCCCCTTTTACGCGAATTCGAAGATACGCGGTTTTTCATTTTGATTGCCGGGCTCATCGGCTCTCTCGCTCCGCCCTCTCAGTGTTCAATTTGCGACAGGTTCCGCGTGAAATTGTTTTAAGGGCTTATAAATTCTAATTATGTCGTCTAAAAGAACGAAAAATGAGTCATTTGAGCCTAACAAGAAAAGAAAAACACTGTCTTTGGAGTGTAAACTGAATATAACTAGACTCAGTCGAGTCGGTAAATCAAATGACAATTGCAAACTTAACAGAAGGGCTCAATTCAATTGAAAAGGGGTTACAAATTTTAGAAAAATTGATTCTAATGAAGAACGCGTTTTACTACAAAACGAGGGATAAAAAAATACTGGTATGCTACGAGGAAATTTTACGTGAATAGAAGAAAAATTTAACTCGTCTGACAACATTGTTAGAATATATGAAGCCTTCGACATCAAAATAACTTCGGTTTAGCTTACTTTATTCATAACAATGTAATATTTTTTTATTATCCTACACCTTACTAAACATTTTTCTTCTCAATTATTGATTTCTTTCAAATCTGGTCCCGATTAAACAAACTTTATATATATTTATATGCAACGCAAATTCGACTTACACGGCAACCGCTCGGACCCACCTATCGCGTAAGTCCGGGGTATTACTGTATAGATATTAACTAACTATCAAACTGACATATAGACAGACATACAGCTAAGCTATTGGGTTTCTTAGCGCACGGAACCCCAAAAACAAATACATTACTGTGAGACACCCAGAATACATTAAAACCGTAGCGACACCAAAAAGCCAACGAAAAAAATTAACATAGAATCATGAGCTACGAAATCTCCAGACCTCAAAATTATTCTGTGAAATCGTGAAAAATAATTTCGCCAAGAGTTCGCGTACCATCCTTAATGGACTGTGGGTTTTAGGGATATCTATAGAGCTGTTATTACTTTTATTCATTACTGGCTGCGTCGGCGACTTCGTCCGTGTAGAATAATTACTTTGCATTAAAGCATCGAAATTTTTTTTTGCACGCCCCTTCATAAAATAAGCTGTTACCTATGACATCGGTCGCGTCCATTCGCGTCGTTCTTGCAAGTTAATCTTAAAAGATAGACATATAATGTAGCGAATTTCTTTTTAGTTCATTTAAAGAGGAATCATTCTTTCATATTTAGTGTCTTTCGCAGCGTACGGACTAGAAACCACAAAGATAAATAATTTCCCCCGTTGTTTCCACATTTCCCGCTGTTTCATTCCTCAACAAATGCTCTAATCAAAGAATTTTTCAATTCGAACCAGTAGTTCCTAAGATTAGTGCCTTCAAACAAACAAACTCGTCAGCTTTATATATTAGTATAGATTAAGCCGCGATTTTAGTTAAAGTTTCTGAGCTTTTTAGCTTAATGTGTTGTTACAGAGTGCAGACTAAAATCCATTTATAAAATCCATTCCTTTGGTCTATTTTTGTTGTACCCCTTTTGCGAAGGTAAATCGATTCGTTACGTAACGCATAACGATAGTAGTCTTTAACTTAGACTCAAGTTATCATTTCGGGCGGACGTTTCGTGCTTTTTCATTTGTTTTGACTAAATTTAACACGCGGTTTGTCTCTTGGATTTTTATGGCCTTTACATAGAAAAAAATAGATACAGAAGAGACGGTGTGCGTGTGACAATACGAAAGATCGAGTAGATCTAAAACGATTAGAACTGTTTTAAACGTGAGATATATCAATTTTTACCACGGCCCGACATTTTGAAATCTCCTATGATCATTAGGTATAGACGAAACATCATACATAATAATATATATTGCGTTTTAAACTATTAAAATGTAATTAAGCCAATTCATTTTTATTTCCCCTGATACCACGTTTGTTATAGGCTATTTAAATTGTTATGAAAAAGTTGGACCCGTTGATTATTATTAGCCATCTGTCGCATCATTCAACCAACGAGTCCGTTAAAACTAATTAACTAATATATTTCGCGTTTTAAACCCTTATAAGTGTTTTATTTAAATGTTACTTTCATAAACTACTGATGACACTTCTTTTACGATATTTTGAGAGTTTTATCAAAAGTATATTTATTGTCAATCTCTTGCAAATTATTAATAATTGTAAGTAATAACAGCTCTATATATATATTAATCATAGTACACTTCACAGACGAATAACTCGAGTCATACGTCTGTTGTTTTTTAATTACTCCGCTATTTGCACTTATACGCAGCTAATAATACTAAATTATTAGGAGACACATTCGTTTGAAATTAAACAACGAACGATGTGTTGCAGTACATTTACTTTATATATACTAGCTGTGTCAGCGACTCCGTCCGTTATTTTGGGCGTCCAAATTCGTTTTTGCAAACTCCTTCATCTTTATAAACTTGGCTGTTATCCACGACGTCAGTCGCGTCCCTTTCCGTCGTTCTTGCGAGTTAATTTTAAAAGACAGACATATAGCGTCGCGAAATTTCTTTAGGTCATTTAAAGTGGAATCATTCTTTCATACATATTTTTTGGATATCTTGAACCGTTTTTGCAGCGAACGCCTCGGAAACCCATAATGAATGATTTTCCCATTTTTTTTTGTACTCGCTTGCATTAGTCACATATGTTTTATAGCCTATATATAGTCTTCTTCGATAAACGCTCTAAATAACACAAAAATAATTTCAATTCGAACTGGTAGTTCCCGAGATTAACGTGTTCAAACAAACAAACATACTCTTCAGCTTTATATATTAGTATAGATGTCTTCGTTTGTATGGAAGTCAGTATGGAAAATTGTCTATCTAAAGAAGGTACAAACATTTCGAAAATATATTAGAAAATGATATCCATCTCGCCGTTTCTGATGTTTTAGACACTATTTTGAACCGATTAGAAATAAGTTAACTATAAACCTTTGTGGTTCATAAACAAATTTTTGTCACGATACATTCATCAATTTATTGTACAGGCCATTAGTTGATTTGACGTCAGTGCCCTACCCGACCGAAACAATGAATTCTTTCGGTTGAAAAGGACACCTATAGACAAAAAGACGGCGGTGTTTCATGTGTCTTATTGTTTAAATTATTTAAAAAAATAATACATTTAAATTTTGAAACAAGCCGTCCTAGATTCGAATCTTGGACAAACAATGTATAATAAACTTTCGTTCGTGTTCTTCTGTTCTTTAAGATATTCTATTTAATAAGAAACACATACATATTGTTGATAGATGCCGGGAGTGATACATGTAGAATTTTGACTGTTTGAAACCGTCTCTGTAGCTTAAATGTTAAACGTGTTGCCTAGCAATGCATTGAGCGCAAGAAGCGTTTGAATCCCGGGAAAATAATAGACTGTTTCAATCAGAGAAACGGACATAGAAATGGGATTTCACTTAACTGTATAAAACACGAAATATATTAGTTGAAATCGCTTATTTTAACACCGACGAAAATGCAGAAATAAAGAGAGTGCCTGTGACGTAAAGATGTTTTGTTTACAGAGAGATCTTGGCAGCGACTCCCCCCCTAACGACCAGCCACTCCGTAGCTGCGACGCCAACACATCGGCGGGACTTCAAACGAGAATCAACTAAAGAAGACAGGTTCTAAATTCTAACATACTTTTATTAATTACTTTATAATATTTTTATTGATTTTTAGTAAATCTGAGAGTCATTCAATCATAAAACGCGAAATATATTAGTTTATTTTTAATTTAAGTATTAATTAAATTTATTGAAAAATAAAAATTTCAAAGTATTTGTCAAAGTGTCTTATTTAAATGTGTACTACTCGCATCAAGTACAGACTGCATGCTAAACAAGCATGCATGCTTTTTAAAATTAAAAACGTTTACTAATATATTTCGCGTTTTAAACCGGTTTAAGTGTCTTATTTAAATGTACTCTCTACTCTACTACTACTACTCGCGTAAAGTACAGACAATGCTAAACACGTTGCGTATTTTTTTTTATAACAAAAAACAGACCTAAAAGTATAGTGTATACTAGGTCCTCTTTCTAACCAATTTTATTTCTCTTCCAGGGGCTCTTTAAAAAAGAGACAGCAGACGAGAAAGCAATAAACGACCAGAACAGAACACCACAAGTCCTCTCAGGGACAGCAAACGGGAGACAAGGGTGGAACCAACTAGACAAGTGGTAAGCCATAAAAGAGAGGACCGCATTTATAACCCGCTCCTGTAATTAATTAATAATTTTTAATTTATACATAAACTTTTAAATAAAACACTTTAACTGTTTAAAACGCGATATATGTTAGTTAAACTAATATGAATATTATTTTTTAAACGACAACCTAACGTTTCGGATGCTTTGCAGCAGCCGTGGTCACGGGGAGAAAGATGGCGGGTGTCTCTGACGTCAAAGTAAAACGTCAACGACATCTGGTCCGTCGAAGTTGGTGTTTAGGGAAACTGGCCTAATTTTCAAATAAGTTTAACTAATACATATCGTGTTTTAAACCGTTAAAGTGTTTTATTGAAACGTTATATGACTGGAGTCTTTCACCTACCATCAAGTTAACACCAAGTTGGTCTGTCCATTATTATAAAAAATAACTTGTCTTTTCAGTACATAGCCTCGTTCGACGAAGAAGGTGAACAGGCGTTTCGGAGAGTCGGTCCCGAAGGCCTCATGAACTTGGAGAAAGTGTACAGAACCCAAGCTGTCATGGACCACATCGCCAGCTTCCACCAGCATCGGCATGCCTTAGCGAGGATATGCAACCCGGTCTTTGGGGATCATTTAAGGTACTTACACTTGGTAGTGTCCACAATACATACGTCTCTACTAATATATAAAGCTGTTTGTTCGTCTGTTTGAACGCGCCAATCTCAAGAACTACTTGACGCATACGTTCTGGATGATCTGTAGATGAGAGAGTATAGTGTAATTGCGATTGGGTTTTAACTTTAGGTTTAGGACGCCAAAATACGTCGAGACCACATCTTGTTCAGATGTCAGAGCCCTATGCTTGTCTCCTCTGTCATATCATCACGTAAGCCAATTGATTAGAACGGCAGCACGGAACCCAGTGTGTTCAAGTCCCGCCCGTGTCGTAATTTTCCTATCTAAATAATATAAACATTGAAAACTTCATTATTTTTTACACTATATATATATAGTGTAAAAAATATAAATATATATTTATATACTATTTTTATATTTGACTTGATAGCTCAATTGGTAGAGCAACAGCACGGAACGCTGACGATGCCGGTTCAAGTCCTGCCCGAGCCGAAAATTTTTTCAATTTATTTTCGATTTTTAAAATTATATAAACTTATTAGTGGTTTAGTTATTAAATAAAGGACTATGTCATATGTATTATAAGAATTACAAACATACATGGTATAACTTAACTTTCAATGGGGAGAAAGAAAAATGTGTAAATAGATTTTTTTTATTTATGCGAAGAAATAGGCCATATCCAAGAATTAGAAGTCAAAAAAAGACCAGATAATTTAAGACCCCTCCATTATTTGCCTAGATATGTTCTGCCCCCTTTTAACAATGCCTACGGAAAGCGCACGAACTTATCTATTGTTCTTGCTTCTGAACGAATTAGATGAACACACGCACAGTAAACTAATAAAAGATCCAGGAAGAAGCAAGGCAATTCGTAAGCCGTTATGCTAGGTAGTAGACTTTATTTATATATTAGTTAATACTGTTATATTGTTTACCTTTTTTTGTATTGTTAATTTTTAAGTTAATTTTAGTTAAAATAAGTTAATATTGGAGTCTATATGAGTCGAGTAGCGGATAAAAAATAACGGTTACCAAAAAAAAATGTTTTCAAATTGTATTGTATATTAGTTTAAATAAAACACTTTAACGGTTTAAAACGCGATATATTAGTTAAACTTATTTGAAAATGATTTTTAACTTCGGCCCGACGTTTCGGATGTTTTGCAGCAGCCATGGTCACGGGGAAACCTCGGGCCGAAGTTAAAAATCTAACTAATATATCGCGTTTTAAACCGTTAAAGTGTTTTATTTAAATGTGTACTACTCGCGTAAACTATAGACAGTATTTGTATATTAGTTTTCGTATACAAAATAAATTTAAAAAAACACATGTAAAGTTATACAAAGACAAAGAATTACTATACTGTCTAGGAAAAGTTCCGCCTTCGTAGCCAAATGGTTAAACGTATTGCCTAGCATTGCGTTAAGCGCGAGAGGTATTGGGTTCGAATCCCAGGGAAACAAAAAATTGTTTCGGTCAGGCAGGGCACAGAAGTCTGATCTACTTGCCTGTTAAAAAACGGACACAGAAATGTGTTTGCCCCATGCCCCACGAGGGGAAAACGAGATTTTACACATTGCACTAGTAAAAGTTAATATTTTCTTTCAGAACAATAATCTCAGGATGCGAAGAACCAGTTTTTGCCCAATCAAGTCAGAAAACCGGGTCTAGTTTCGAAAACGAAGCTCTTTACGAGCTGGAAGGAAGTGGGTACAGCCCCGTCCAGCCGTTACCCCATGACCATGGTGTGACGATGTTTCCGTTAGCGCCACAGAACGGAGAGAGGATAGATAGGCACATATTACAGGTAATTACCGGTTCTATTACTGCAGCGGTAAGACAGGCATTGGTGGACAAACGGTACTTCTTGCGTAAAGTAGACTGTAGTAGTGTAGTACTCCCAAATGACGCGCGTAAATTAAAACCAAGTAGTACAATTCAGAACTTTAAAACCAATGGCGAAGTTGACGAACAACTATTAACGATAGTTTTTAAAGCGTCAAAGTATTTTTTCACTAGCTTTTTATGGAATGCTGTCTATAGTTTATGCGAGTTGTACACATTTAAATACAACACTTCACATAAAAATGAGTTCAACTAATATATCGCGTTTTAAACCGTTAAAGTGTTTTATGTAAATAGCTCTCTATGTTCAAGCCAGTTCTTCCATTTGATAAGTTATCTGTTCGGTCGCCATGTTGGGGAGTAGAAGATCGTTCCATTTTTAAATTTATTGAACAGTAAAACACGATAGATATGGATTTTCATACAACCATTGCCGGCCGCTGCTGGACCAGTACAGCAAGTTTGATTTATCTCGAAGAAGGTCGTCAAAATAATGCTCAAATTTAAATAAAACACTGTAACGGTTCAAAACGCAATAAATTATTTAAACTTATTTGAAAATGATTTTTAACTTCGGCCCGACGTTTCGGATGCTTTGCAGCAGCCGTGGTCACGGGGTATCGCGTTTTAAACCGTTAAAGTGTTTTATTTAAATGTGTACTACTGGCGTAAACTATAGACAGTATCTAATGCTCAAATTTCCAAGCATGTTTCGGAAAATTCGTGTAAAAGAATTTTCCAATATCTTATACATTTGACGGGCTTGATGGTAGTAATATATGGCTAATAATAATCATAGGTTTGTTCCCCACTAGGTTCAAGATGCTTCTCATCAATAAATCGTGTAAGGCTTACACGGCCATCGTTCAGCATATCATTGTTTTTCCGGCTGTTCGGCCGACGTTAATTTAGAATTCATGTATTCTTCGTGCAATCGAAGAGTTAACATCTCCTGATGTTGCCGTCTGCACGTGAAACGTCGAGAACCTATTCTCGCTCACGTCTGCCGAACAGCCCGAAAAACAATGTTATTCTTACGTCTGGATATCTGGATGTTTAATTAGTGGTGGTAGTATCGAAAAGCCGTCCGCCGACCGAATCGCTTTTTTTATTTTTATTTATTTATTTATTAAAAACCAATCACACACCTTTACAGAATAACAATTCCAACATGATAGTGAGTTACAATTAATCATTTAAATAAAATTAAAATGAATAGTTATCATATTACATATAACGCTACTACATATACGTTATAGTCTTTATGAACTCGGTCACTGTACAATTAAAAATGTCTATTTTACAATTAACACTGTTAAGAATGTGAAGTGCTCGCATATTCGGGGAATAATACATTAAGTTTGTTCTCGCGGGACTGATGGCGAACAGTGATCTAGTACGTCGTCGTAGGTAGGCATCTGGGACGTAGAAGCTGATGGACTGTAGCACCGTGGGGTCATATGTGATGCCTCTCAGCACCTTGAACACATACGTGGCCAACGCTAGGTGCCTCCGTGCTTCGAGCTTAGCGTATCCAACCATGCCTAAAACGAATAACGTCGGATACATTAAGGGGTAGTAAGGATACACCCCGTAATGCCTTTGATATAAGTGTCTCGTAAACTTATTTTGAATACGCTCTAGCATACTGCTATACTTAACTTCGTGTGGCGCCCAAAGAACGGCGTTGGATTCCAACTGACTTCTTACTAATGCGTTATACAGCACTGTGATGGCTCTGGTACTGGTGAATGCAGACGCTCTCCGAAGGACAAAACCCAGTCGCTTATAAGCTTTCTTACAGACACTGACTATGTGGTCTCTAAACGTGTACCTTGCGTCTACTGTAACTCCGAGATCACGTACAGATTGCACTCTTTCCAAAGGTGCGCCTGCCAATTTGTATTCGTACCGAATTGGGGCTTTTGCTTTGGTAAATGTTATGACGCATGACTTAGATAAATTAATTTGCAGCTTGTTATTTTCGCTCCACGTCTTTATTTTATCTATATCTCCCTGAAGATTAATGCAGTCGCCTTTGTCCTTGACTGCCAATAAGAGCTTTAAGTCGTCGGCAAACAACAAACACTTGGCTTTTCTTACTACGTCAGGCAAGTCGTTTATCATGATCGAAAAATGCAAGGATCCTATATTTCTCCCTTGACTTACGCCGGAACAAGTAAAATATGTCGCAGATTGACACCCACAATACTCCACGTACTGTTTCCTATCCTTTAGGTTAGCTGGCAAAAAACCATAATAGTTTAGGAGTGCATCCTATTTTTGCCAGCTTCGAAAGTAGGACATCGTTATCCACTACATCGAAGGCCTTTTTGTAGTCGAAGTAGGCTGCATCCACCTGCACCCCGGAGTCAACATGAGGAATCAGGTACGTAGCTGCATTTAGCAAGTTGCTGGTCGTACTTCGTTTTGGCCTAAACCCATGCTGAGAGTCAGTTAGGTACGTATCTATTTGCTGCTGCATACTTCGTTGAATGGCTGACTCGAATACTTTAGCAATCGATGATAAAACTGCAACGGGTCTGAACGATTCGATAGTTTTACCGCCGTCGCTTTTAGGTATCGGTACAACCCTAGTAGTTTTCCAGGCGTCCGGGAAGTGTGACCGTTCAAGACATAAGTTGTAAACATGTAGAAATGGCTTGGCCAATACTAACCTGCAGTCGCGTAATAAGAAAGGCGGAATTCCATCTGGGCCCACGGAGCTTTTTGGCTTCAGCCGAACGAGCGCAACTTTTACTTCGGCTAGCGACAGTTCGGGTACGTGAACACGAGCACTACCGCCGCCGCTCGCCCTCACCGCTTCGTCAACATTGAGTCTCGCTGGTTCGTTATTGTACACAGAATAAAAATATTTCGCAAATTCATTCGCACATTCCGAATTCGATAACTGCACACCGTTTTTATAAACTGTTTGTTTTTGTGCAGACGATTTTTTGCTCCGAATATTTCCAAAAAGATTTTGGGTCTTTAATTAAATTGTTTTGAATTCGTTGTTCGTATATCTGAAATGTCTGTTTTAGATTAGCCTTAACTCTCCTTCGACAAAATGCAAAAGCGTTATAATCCGTATCCGATCGACTTAATTTATAGCGTTTGTGTAACTTAGCCTTAAGCCTTATATCATTAATAATATCGGACGTATACCACTCGGGATAGCTACATTTATGATTTTTCGCGTTGGACTTTCTAGGCACATGCTTATCTAGAATGTTGTTCAAGATATCATATAACGCTGCAAGGGCGTGCTCAGGGTTTCGCATATTATAAACGTCACCCCAATCGACGAGACTCAGTGAGTGATATAATGAAGCAAAATCTGCTTTATAGAAATTCCAAGTTAATTTACTCCTACCTGCAGCGGTCCTACTTTCCCAGTTATGCAACACGTCCCGTCCTATCCTTGTATATCGGGGGTAGTCCAGCTCAATCAAGAGTGGCGGGTGATACGGGTCCACCAGCACCAACGGCTCGTCCGCCTCCTTCACCGACACCTTATCCCACAAGTATGACGAGCACAACACAAGATCCAGTTGCCTACCATTACAATTCGGAATATTATTAACTTGAGTGAAATCACAGTAAGATTTAAAAAATTCAAAATAATTTCTAACAACTCCATTAGTAGAATACAAATTAAAATCGCCTAGCAATAACACTTTTTCGTATTTTAAACACAGTCGCTCTAATAAATTTAAACATAACATATATTCGTTCTCACTGATTTTAGGAGGTAGATATACTACGCAACACAACAACAATAATTTGTCATTAGAGTGAACGGTCGCACAGACTAGTTCGAACGAGTGGCGATCTACCGTGACGTCATCTAGTTCGCATCGGCTCACTCTTTGTATTCGTAAACCGCGCGCGGCCACTAGAAATGCACCGCCTTGTTTACGTCCGTCAGTACGGTCGCACCGAATAATTTGGTACCCTGCAGGTATAATTTCGCCGTCCATTATCGAGTCATTACATCCAGTTTCCGTAATAGCAATGATATCAGCTTCTAAATATTCTAAGTTGCTACAAAAACTGTTCAACTTAGTTCAAAGGCCCCTGGCATTCTGATAATAGATAGTTAAATGAGCATTATTCTTCGATTGATTTGCTTTTTGATTTACGAAACCAATACCACTGAGAAAACTCTGCATGAATGGGCCAAACTTCCGGCTGGCATAACTTCTGATACACTGACTCTGAAGCGGTGATTATAAAAGAGGAATAGCTTCTTTCCCGCTTATGTTTTAGCTTAATAATCTTTGTATCAATATCCGATCCACATATTTTTTGTACATAAGTTGATAGCTGATCCACTGTGGTATCAGTTTTCAATCGCCAAACATGTAGATGTTTTATTTTTTCTGAAGCCTGAATCTCAAGCATATTGCAATTTTTTCCTCGCATAATATCTGCAGATTCTGACCTTAAGACTTTTTCTTGGGAATTATTTTTGTTATTCCTATGTCCTACCTCTACGGTCTCTAGATCCATCGATTGCAATTGATGTCTCTTAACTCGTCGCGTTTTGATTGTCGCTGAGCTGATTTTCGTGGCTTTCGTGGCCTCGCTAGTACTACCGCCTACCTGCCTCGGGTTTTGAGCGATTTTGGCAAATGTTGGTGTTGGTATATTTTCTATTCGCTTCTCCGATATGTCCTCGGTACGAATACACTGCCCGTTATTTACATTGAGAGCACGATTGATATTTTCACTATTGCTTTTATCACTTTGTTCAACTACCGACATGAACTTCGTTTTAATTTCTTGCAATTCCGATTTCAGGGTTCAGAAATACACATAATCTCGAAGATCCATAATAGCTCTTGTTTGCATGTCCATTTTCTTGATAACTTGGTATTTGAAGGCTCGGAGTTCCAAAGCATAATCGCAATCACCATTTATGAGAAGTGAATCATCGGGTGCTTGCACACGGGATCCTCTCAGCGTATTAATATTAGTTTCGAACGAGTTTTTTTCACACCCTGGAGTTACATATGGGCTATTTGGCTCGTTTAAACTGCTTAAATCACTATTTTGACTAATTTTCGACATTTTTACTAATTTATTTAAACGTTTTTTGCGGGAGCACACAAAAACACTTGCAACCGAACAAACGAACGAACGAATAAATTTTCTCAATATTCGAACCTCGAACCAACTTCTCGCTCTTATAGCAAAGGTAGGTAGCGCGTTTCACCATTTATCTAATAAAATATGTCAAAATTCCTCATAATTGTCACGGGGGGGGGGGGGGGTTATTTAATTAAAAAAATATTTAAAACTCAACAAGATCGTACCCCCCCACCATTTATATACGGCCTGGATATGTCTCCACAGATAATGCACCATGGCACATCGTGTATAGTTGGTGAAGCTGAATGCAGTGGAGCGTTCGTGCATCTGCGATTGGAACGAGCATGCGCACTGCTTACTTGGTGCAAAACTGCGCATAGGCCGTACGTACATTGTGGTGAGTCAACTCTGTAAAAATGTATATAGTTAGGTAACAGATAACATATAAAACGAATTTAATTTAATTAATGTAATATTTTGTAATCAGAAAAATAGCGTAATACATTTTACATGCGGAAATCGAATCCACGACCCGATGCTATTTCTACTACTATGCAAGGAAGTCAGTTTGAATTAATTTTTAACTGCGTAAAAAGGTTAAATATTTATATTTTAACCGTTTCTATCGCGAAATATATTGGTAAATTTATTTTATAACTACGGCTCGACATTTTCGGTGCTCTGCAGCAGTCGTGGGGGACAAAGGACAACTGCTACGACATCCATCTGTTTCGACATAGCTAGTATTATAGAAGCAGCCTTCTTCAGTCGCTCCTTTGACCACGACTGCTGTTATGCATCCGAAACGTCCAGCTGTTAAAATAAGTTGTTAAAAAGTTCCCCAATATATTTCACGTTTTAAACCGTGTTTTATGTGTGAACTATAGTAGGTAGTAGTGTGAAAGCCCGTCTCCCCCTCGTGGGGCATGGGGCGAACACATTTCTGTGTCCGTTTCATTGATCCGTTCTTTTAACGGGCAAGTAGTTGATCAGACTTCTATGCCCCACTCCAGATTCGAACTCAGGACCTGACGCGCTCAACGCAATGCTAGGCAATACGTTTAACAGTACTAAATGGATGATGTCTTAATTTCCAGGAGAAACCCCATCAGAGAATATACAGCAACCCGAAATAAGTTTATCATATAATCCAGAAGAAGTGATTCCGCTGAAATATTCTGGAAATTTGGTCCACGAAACTGAAGCTGGCGTTGTCGGTGAAGAAGGGTAAATAAATTTAATTCAATTTATTAAATAAACGGTTTCAAACGAGAAATGTATTAGTTTAGTTTTTAAAAATATATTATCGCGGCTCGAAGTTATCAGCCGTGGTCACGACGAAACAAAGCGGAAACATCCAAAATAAGCCGTAGTTAAAATAATTTGCAAGTAAACTACAGACAACTAAATGGAGTATATTTAGTAAATAATGAACACAAAGATACTGAATTTTAATCTAGGTACCTATATACCTTTTTATAATAAAATATAAACAATTTATAACATCAGTTAAAAATGGGCCCCTAACCTAACGGAAATGTAGATACCCCACCCTGTAGATACCCGGGGCCGTTTTTAATACCTTCCTACCTTCTTACCCGAAATTTGGCCCTGTTAATGTTTGAATATTTTTAATATTAAGCTTTGCATATTCTCATAAGCGATTGTATTTATAATGTCTTAATCAGTATTTTAACGAAAAAATGCTTGGGGTTTGGAAGAACTCTCCATCAAGAAAAGTATATAGTGCCTCAAGACTGTAAAATAGAACTTGGAGATGAAAGGAGTGGCGGCGAGTTTTTTGCCAATTCTTCTTGTTCGTTCGATGCCCTCGATTCGAGAACTGGTAGTAAAAGTTATTTTTAGAGTTAGTTTTTAACTGATGTGACGTTCATAAGTACCCAGTTACTTACGTGAATAAACGCTTATTGACTTTTAACGTTCTTCGAGAATAAATTATTGAAACCTAAACCTAATCCTAGATTATCTCTTCTAGATTCATCGACCTCCAATGCGTGAAGGACATGCGTCTTGGTGGTAAACTCCTGGAACCGAGGGACATAGCTGATCTCGTGGCCAGCGCAAAGAGACACGGTCTCGAATCCTGCAGTCAGAAAGCTCACGTCATATCACTACTTTACGGCAACACTCTTAGCGATAACAGACATATACACTTTTTATTACCTCCCAACGCATACAGGTAAGAATGATAATAGTCATGTATTACATTACACCATTACAAAACATCCATTACTTTGACGTCAGAGACACCCTTCATCTTTTGTCTCCCCGTGACCACGAAGGCATCCGATAGTTTATCTAATATATATCACGTTTTATTACTCGCGTAAACTACAGACGTACAGACGTAAAGACATTCATAACTGTACTAATAATATATCTGAAGAGTTTGTTGGAACGCGCTAATCTCAAGAACTACTGGTTCGAATTGAAATATTATTTTTGTATTGGTTAGAGCATTTATCGAGGAAGGCTTGAGGCTGTAAAACATCGCGCTGCGACTAATAGAAGCGAGGAAATAGGGAATGTGGGAAAGACGAGACGAGCGTTTCCGTTACGTGCACTGTGCAAACTGATCAAGATAGCTACATAATATATATGAAAGAATGATTCCTCTTTAAATGATCTAAATAAATGTCTACAACACTATTACAAATTACTTATTACAAAATTATTACAAAAAATACTTAACCCAGGTTTAAACCAGAACTGCGGAGTCTTGGTTTAACTGTTAAACCATGGTCTAAATGAGTCTAAGTTAGTACCATAGTTAGTCCAGTACAAACGTTAAACTTCGTTTTGTAATTAGTATTTCAAATAAACCAGGGTTTAACCAGGTCTGAAGAAGTCCTTGTTTTATAATAAGAGTGTATAAATTTTTTTTTAAGATAAACTCGCCAGAACGACGGACCGGGCAGGGAACTTCAGGGAAAAAAAATCTATAGTTTATCACTTTTCACATAGTTGACCTGATAAGAAGAACTTGCGCTTGCGCATACAGTTTATGATGTATAATTTACATTCTTTTAGAGTATGGGCTGTTGGCCTTCATTCTGTGACAAAGGCTCTAATTAGCCAGACCAAGTTGGCAGACAGGAGTCTGGCTTGGTTGAAAAATAAGTACACGGCTCTTTACTATGAAGATGGTTGCTGCTGTGAGCCGTTGGTCTCTGATGCTATTCGGGTAAGGTTTTCTTTAGTACCACAGATATTAAAGTATGTAGCTCACGTTTTAAACTGTTAAATGTGTCATAAAGATTAAAAGTTATGTAAAGAAATGTTGATATTTTAACATTTGAAAACTTACATATTTTTCACATGAAGACACAATGTAAATTAAAAATATTTTTTTTTATTGTTTAAAAAAAATATGGCATGGGCAAGACTTGAACTGGCGTCTACAGCGTTGCACGAAACACTGTGGATGCCGGCTCAAGGCCTACATGTGTTGTATATTCTCTTCTATCTAAAATAGCTTTTAATTTATATAATAATTTTAATGAATTCTTTGGGTAAAAACGAAACAGGACAAAGCTATTATTTATTTATTTTTCTTTAACATTTAAAATATTGATAAAAAAATAAAAATAAATAATTTAAAAAGTTCTCATAAAACATTTGTGTATCTATTATTTTTTACCTCATAAGTATTGTCTGTTATTAATAGTCATTGGTACACATTTAGATAGCACACTTGTAACGGTTTAAAACACGAAATAGTCAACTTATTATTTATTTTAAAAATGGTGAGAACACAGCTACACAGCTTTCGAAACTTCGGTTCGTAGTTAAATAAACAATCAGGTAATATTTCACGTTTTAAACCGTTAAAAGTGTTTTATTTAAATCTTTACAAAACTCATTTCAGATTTTCGGTGGAAGGGATTCAATTTATGGCAGCTCGTCTCATTCAACTCCAGTGAAATTCACTGACTCCCATTCGGAGTCGGTGAAAAGTGGAATGAAGTTTAGAAAGAACAGGTCTTCATCGGAACTGAAAAGTTCGCCGCGGAGTTACAGCACAGCTGGGACTAGAAGTGACGACGAAGGGTTTCAGCATTCACCACGGCACAGGTGCTTTTAATCTATACTAATATATAAAGCTGAAGACTTTGTTTGTTTGAACACACTAATCTTGGAAACTACTGGTTCGAAGTGAAAAATTCTTATTGTTGTGGTTAGAAGGTTAATTATTATAAATAATATTTTATGTCCGAAGCAATCATTCAACGCGAACTAAGTCGCTGGGACAGTTAGACAGACAGACACTTCCCACATAGCACTATATGGGGAAAATGTGATTCACTTTTATTATGTATTCACCTAGATGTAACATTAAAAAAAATAATGTTTAAAACTCGAAATAAAAAATTTAATCGCGTTTCGGATTCAGTCTATAGATTGTCGAAAGCACATCGTGTGACGTATTTAAAAACGAATTAACTAATAACGCGCGTCTTAAACCGTTAAAAATGTTCTATTTACTAGTAAAAAAAAAACGACTTTTTAACCTTCAATCAAGACGCCCTGTCGACTGATTTTGCCCTTAAAATTCGGACTGTGGACGTGTGGTTCGTGACCCGCCGGAATTTTCGATTCGACCACCCAGTTACTATTCAGATTTGCAAACAATCTAAAATGTTGTGTCATACATTCGCGTTTTAAACAGTTAAACGTGTTTTATTTAACTTAAGTAAATCTTTCAGTTCCTACTCGGCTGCGTCAAGTCACCACACACCTTGCGGGCCTCGGCACAGCAGCCTAACAGCTACAAGCCTCGTGTCAAACTCGCCTAACAGGAGTAGGTGAGACACTGATATCCATTCATCTTTCCCACAGCTGGGACTAGATGTTAGAACATCTTTTCAATCATTCACGGGTGTCCGTTTCGTTTATGAACACATTTTCATTCATCCATCAAGCAAAATTCAACGCCGTTTATCAGATTCCCACTGCTGGGAATCCGTTCTTAGATGTATATACGTAATGATCCATCATACTAAAGTGGTTTGGGTGTGTTTCGTTATTATAAAAGCACTTATAACGACTGGGGATCGAACTCCCGAACTTATGAAAGTCGAGTATTTAATTCAACCAATACAACTTAAATGGAAAGTGCCACAATATGTAAATTAATTGAGAATAAGCTAGATAAAACATATTATTTATTGGGAATCGAATCTCAGACCTCGTAAATAAAAGCCTATTCAACCGGCCGACTGAACAAACCAGCCTGAAAATATGTATGTTTTTAAAACACGTCTAACGGTTTAAAACGTAAACTGCATTAGTTAACTTATTTACAATATATTTCACTTTGGCCCAACGTTTTAGATGCTTTGCAGCAGCCGTAATCACGGGGGTACACTTAAAACGGTACGTCGGGCCGTAGCTATATTGTAAATAAACTATTGAAATAAAAAACTAACGGTTTAAAACGTTAGTGTTTTATTAAAAATAATAAATTATATATATCGTGTTTTAAACTGTTAAAGTGATTTATTTAAATGTGTACTACTTGCGTAAACTGCAGACAGTGTTTAAGTATGTTCCCTAAGACATTTAGCGTGTTTAACTGTTAAAAATGTTTAAATAAAACACTTTAACGGTTTAAAACGCGATATATTAGTTAAACTTGTTTGAAAATGATTTTTAACTTCGGCCCGACGTTTCGGATGCTTTGCAGCAGCCGTGGTCACGGGGAGACTCCCCGTGACCACAAGTTTAACTTACATATCGCGTTTTAAACCGTTAAAGTGTTTTATTTAAATGTGTACTACTCGCGTAAACTATAGACAGTGTTAAAAATGTTTTAATTAAATGTGTACTACTCGCGTTAGTTACAGCCTTGCTTTTTAATGTGATTTTGTTTTGTTTTTACAGTTTAAGAAGACTAGAAACAAGTGAAAGATTCTGGGAGAACATGAAGCATCTTCGTACGGGCTCCGTAGGGTACGAGACGCAACTGGATTTTATGGACTTTGTCTCCCTCTTCCGGAGTTTTAGGTAAACTATTAATGCTCATACATAACTAGCTATGTCGGCGACTTTGTCCGCGTAGAATACTTAATTCGGGCATCCAAATTAAGTATTCTACGCGTATTTTTTAGGTAATTCAAAAAGAAACCATTCTTTTATACATTGTTTTGGGTATGTTGAACCATTTTCGCCGGGTACGCATCGGAAAACCACAAAGGTGAATAATTTTTCACGCTTTTTCACATTTCTCGCTAGGCATACTATATCATGAAACAATAGTGTTTATGTCATAACTTTTTCGATTCCAGCTTAGTAATGCGTTCAGAACTGCGTGACGTCTTCGACCAGCTCGCGGTCCCTCGTGCGAGGTGTCCGTTCCTTGGAGCCGAGAAGAGTAGAAGTTCTCCAGAACTCTTCAGGAATAAAACTGCTTTTAGAACTGGTGAGTAACATTGCGCGAGAGGTAATTCTTTTAAAGTTAATGTTTCTGGGGTTATCGAACTCGACCAGCGTGATTGAGAATTCCTTTTCGACGTGTTTCTTTAATGTAAAGGGGGTCAAGCATGGACCTAACTTCATTGTATGTGAAATAACGCAGCAATGTAATCTCAACAAGATGTGTTGCCGTCCTATTTTGACTATGGATATTCAAAGATCCACAGACTGTAACTGAAACAAGATTATACTTGACGGCTGTCTTGACCCTGTCGATCCACCTATTTAGCATCCAGATTTCCAAAGTCCAACATGCTTCACCAACATTCTATTTTAAAAACGATGATGTCGGTAGGGATTATAGAGACTTGGTAGCTCAATTCGATAGAGCAACATCACGGAACGCTGTGGATGCTGCTTCAACTTGTGCCCGTGTCGTAATTTTTTATTAATTTCATTTTATAATCGATTTTTATATACGTATGTATAAAAAATGAAAAATATATATATCGAATCATATAATATATTTAGGATAGTTTTAGATCGAAAGTGTTTCCATTTTACAGGACTTCTGACAAGAAACGGTTCCCTCGACTTGGAGCCTCCGAGCGACAAGGCCGGGAGAAAAAAGGCGTTCGACATCCTGGCCGCAGCAGCTTTACCAGGTTTACAAAGTTTTGAAAACATTTTTCAAGTTCTTCAGGACGTCGTCCGCGTCCCGTTGTTCTTACAAGTTAATCATAAAAGATGCTAGAAAGAGACACATACATTCGCGGACATTTTTTGTATAAATTATAGACAAATCATTCTTTGAGAAACAAAAAAAAACTATGTGTATGACATTTAAATAAAACACTTTAACGGTTTAAAACGCGATATATATTAGTTACTTCGGCCCGGCGTTTCGGATGCTTTGCAGCAGCCGTGGTCACGGGGAGACGTCGGGCCGAAGTTAAAATCATTTTCAAATAAGTTTAACGAATGTATTGCGTTTTAAACCGTTAATTTAAATGTGTACTACTCGCGTAAACCATAGACAGTATTTGTGTGTATAACACATAGTTCTTTTTTGTTTCTTGCACCGTTATAGCAACGTACGCAACGAAAGCCCAGAAAGATGAATAGTTTTCCCAGTTTCTACCACATTTCCCAATATGTCTTTGCTCCATTCAGCACGATGTTTGATAGATAGAATCAACAACAAACATTTCGCATCGAACCAATATTTTTTTTATTACTTTATAATATTAGGTAGTATAGTACTAAATACTGTCTATAGTTTACGCGAGTAGTACACATTTAAATAAAACACTGTAACCGTTTAAAACGCGATATATTAGTTAAACTTATTCGAAAAATGATTTTCAGCAGTCTCCCCGTGACCACGGCTGCTGCAAAGCATCCGAAACGTCGCGTCGGGCCGAAGTTAAAAATCATTTTTCAAATAAGTTTAACTAATATATCGCGTTTTAAGCCGTTAAAGTGTTTTATTTAGTATCTTAGTACTACGACGTCCAAAGATTTATGGTTTTCAGAAGTTAAACCCCTTCGCAATCAGCCTTTTAATATTAGTACAGATATTATAAAGCCACTTAAAGGGCCAATATTCCAGGAGCCAACCCAGACCTGAGCGGCAAGGTGCTTTCCCTCCCAACGCTGGGCAAGTTTTGCGAAACGAGACAGAACGAGCCAAAGAGCGAGCAGCAGTTAAAAGACATTATACAGGTGACTTTAACTTATACTAACTATAGTAAAATTTGATTTTTTATTTACTGGTTTAATTTATTTAAATAAAACACTTTAACGGTTTAAAACGCGATATATCAGTTAGGCCCAACGTTTCGGGTGCTTTGCAGCAGCCGTGGTCACGGGGTCACTGACGTCGGGCCGCAGTTAAAAATCATTTTCAAATAAGTTTTACCCGCTCTTAGGAAAAATATGTAGTGCACGAAAAGTAAATCAAGAATGTAAAATGAAACTTGGCGATAAAAGGAGTGACGGCGAGTTTATTGCCAGTTCTTCTCGTTCGTTCTTCGCCCTTGATTTGAGAACTGGTAGTGAAAGTAAAGTTAGATGCTTTAATTTTTTGACGTTCATGTTCATAAGTGTACATAGTTACCTACATGAATAACTTTTGACTTTGACTTTGACTTCATAATTAATGCCCGTTTTATATTCCACGTTTGGTGTTTAAAAATTAAATGTCATGTCAATAAATTATTATTTTTTTGACACAGAGACATGAACCGGACCCGACGCTAAGAGCGGAAAACTGTCTTTCCTTCGAAGGTTTCGTCAGATTTCTGTCAGACAAAGACAATTACGCATTCGTACCAGAACAGAGGAGAGTCGGTAATGTCGCGGGGTAAGTTTTGAACACATTTTTTTATTTGCCTATTTATGAATATATATCTATACTAACATACAAAGCTGAAGAGTTTGTTTGTTTGAAAGCGCTAATCTCTGGAACTAATGGTTCGAATTGAAAAATCATTTGTGTAAGACCAAATACTGTCTATAGTTTACGCGAGTAAAATATAGACAGTATTTGGTTTTTGGACAAAATTTAAATAAAACACTTTAACGGTTTAAAACGCGATATATTAGTTAAACTTATTTAAAACGGTGTCCCCGTGACCACGGATGCTGCAAAGCATGCGAAATGTCGGGCCGAAGTTAAAAATCATTTTCAAGTAAGTTTAACTAATATATCGCGTTTTATACCGTTAAAGTGTTTTATTTAAATTGATTAGACCATTTATCGATTAAGGTTATAGGTATATCCCGCTGCGAAGAAACAGCGGGAAAAGTGGGAAAAACAGGGAGAATTCCTGATCCTCATGGTACGTTGGGTACGTTATGCCCAAAAAATATGTGTATATGTTTTCTCAAGAACAACGAGACGCGACCCATTTATAAAGATGAGGACGTTTGCAAGACAAATTTTGATTAACAAAATAATTATTCTACGCGAACGAAGTCGATGGCAAAGCTAGTCACCACATTTAACATGTAATTTTATAATTTCAATATAGAAAGGAGACTCTAAAACACCTTTTTTAATTTACATGTGACAGATTCTAGCCAATATTAACGTAGGTACATATTTGAACTCTAACAAGTTTCTCACATTCCAGGAAGACCGCAGAACACAATCAAGAACAGAAGGACTTGAGTAAGGAAATGTCGGGTCCTCTTAGCCAGTATTATATCGCCAGCAGTCACAACACGTACCTCACTGGTCATCAGCTAAAGGGAGAATCTTCCGTCGAGCTGTACAGCCAGGTAAGCCTAATTTAACGGAATAAAACACGATCGAAAGCTGACAAGCTCGTGGGTGTAATTGTAGCAATGTCTGGTTAATAATCGACGGGCCGTGGCTTCGATTCCCACCTCTGCAACATGGTCGCCATCTGGAAAGACTGGATAATTAATAGGTGGTGGGAATGTCGGAATTCCATCTAGGTCACGGACCACAAGCCACCGCTGAAAAAGCCGTGAACTATAGTCGCAGTTTGTGGATTTCTGAATATCCAACACCAAAATAGGCCGACAGCACATCTTGTTGATATGTCATATGGCTGTGGTATTTCGCCATCTATAAAATTAACCCCCGTGCGTATGCGCTTGTCGTAAAAAGCGATTAAAATATAATTTTTTAGGTACAAATAGCAAATGATAGATATAAAAAAATATTTTACATAAAAAAATCTTTTGCACAATGCATAGAGCAGGAAAACAACGTCGTAGCCGTGGGTTCGAATTCCGCCCACATGATTTCTTTTTAAATTAATAATTTATAAAACACATTTCAAGTATTAGTTATAGTAACTTAAATAATGAATTGCACTTCTTAATTAAGTGTATCATCTTATATACACCACTCACACTAAAAAATATTACTTAAAAACCGGGTTTCAATCAGTTAAATCATGTGAAGAATAATTCAAATAAAAAGGCAAATGCATGACCAATAATTTATTACTAAACAGTTACACTAACCAATTCTGAAATCAATGTAACATTTTAATTTAAAACTTAAAATAGACAAAATTTCATCGATAAAAGTACATCAGTTTAGTGCGTATTGCGTCTATACCAAAACCGTGCTCTGTAATCATCGCTGCACGTCAAAAATGCTGGAGCCGTTCCCGAATGTACGATGTGCCTTAAAAACAAACATACATTAATATAAATAATATTTTTATACTAGAAAAGAAATCTTATTTATTTAAATAAAACAATGTAACGGTTTAAAACGCGATACATTCCCCGCCACAACGGCTGCTGCAAATCATCCGAAACTTTGGCACGTAGTTAAAATAATTCCCAAATAAGTCTACAACTAATATACATCGCGTTTTAAACCACGAAATCTTATTTATTTGAATAAAACAATTTAACGGTTTAAAACGCGATACATTCCCCGTCACAACGGCTGCTGCAAATCATCCGAAACTTTGGCACGTAGTTAAAATAATTCCCAAATAAGTCTACAAGTAATATACATCGCGTTTTAAACCACGAAATCTTATTTATTTGAATAAAACAATTTAACGGTTTAAAACGCGATACATTCCCCGTCACAACGGCTGCTGCAAATCATCCGAAACTCTGGCACGTAGTTAAAATAATTCCCAAATAAGTCTACAACTAATATAATATACATCGCGTTTTAAACCGTTAGTGTTTCAGCAGTTTAAATTAACTGAAATATGTTAGTGTTTACATTTTCTAGTTTAAATGTTCAATTTATTGCATCATTATATGACATTTGCTTCTCTACAGCAACTTTTTCTTTATTTCAACACGCAAAGGTTGCCTGGAAGAAATCGCCACACGACAAGGCCGCCTTTGCGCAGATATTTTTTATTTTGTATATATTATTTTACGTGTCTACGTTTCACTCTCGTTAATAAACTCACCTGACAGCGCCGTTATGGCCGAGCGACATAAGCTGGCACCGGCTCGCGCTCCGCGAATGCCAAGTGCACAGCGACGTGGTGGCTTCGTCGGGGAACAACACGTAATCCTCGGTGTGATTGAATATGGCCTGAGCGTGATGTTCTTGCTTACCTGGTAATAGGAGTAACGGCTTGAAATGTCAGACAAAACAAAACTCAACGGTTCAAAACGAGAGATATTTGAAATTTATTTTAAATACGCTAATAATTTAGTAAGTCTGCAGTGTACGCTAGTGCACATTTAAATAAAAACAAATTATCCGTTTAGAAAATGAAACACTAACGGATTAAAACGCGATATATATTAGTTAAACTTATTTGAAAGTTATTTATAGTCCCCGTGACCACGGTTGCTGCAAAGCATCAGAAGCGTCGGGTGGTAGTTAGAAATAATTTTCAAAAAGTCTTACTATTATATTTCGCGTTTAAAACTGTTAGAGTTTTTCATTTAAATGTGCACTACTCGCGTAAGCTTTAGGCGTTCATCATACAAAGTATAATTTCCCTCGGATTCAACGATCATTGCTCTAATGGTAGCAAAGGCTCATAACGATTCGTGGATTCGATTCCCACCAGGTATAACATTTTTCCAATCGATTTATAATTTTGCTAAACATCATGTCTTTGCCTGCCTTTGTCTAGAAATCTGAATTCACCCGGATAAAGTATCAACGTCCACACATAAAAAACTCAAATTCAATCGTGTTTCGCTTCAGTCTGTGAATTTCCTAATATCCAAGGCCAAAATAAATCGACAGCGCATTTAATATGATGACATGACAGATTTAAAAAAATGATATTTTAATATTACGCGATTGAAACCGTTCAAAAGTTACCTGTAGTCCCAGCTCCAGTATACTGTATTAGACATCGACTGCTCGCCAATTCCCACAGTTTTATCGAAGAGTCCATACCCGATGTTAGCAGATACTGTGGGTGGGAAATCATTTATTATAGGCTTGCAAGGTATTGTTCGGTATTCGGCCTATTCGACGTCTTTCATACTATTCAAAATATTAGGCAAAATTCGTCATGAGATGGTCTGGCTGAAGTGTTTCACCTTCCATCAATCACCCAATGGTTGTCTGTCCCCTCGTCTACCATACCATTTTTCACATGTTATTGCACATGAAGGCACTACATAATTTAAAAATCGAAAATAAATTGAAATTTTTTTTTGCAAGTGTTAAGGTTGAAATTACACTGCGCGAGCGGTGCATGTATCAATAAGTTGCAAAAATTCGACGATGAGGTGTAGGACTCGGTAGCTCAATTGGTAGAGCAACAGCACGGAAAGCTGACGATGCCGGTTCAAGTCCTGCCCGAGTCGAAATTTTTTTCAATTTATTGTCGATTTTTAAATAATATTAATGTTTTCAATGATGTTCTTCAGCTGCAAAGCATAAGACACTGAACCTTAATAATCAAGAGCCAAGGTTGAAATTACATTGCGCGAGAGTTGCATAAACGCAACGCTTGTTAAAAAAAATTGACGATGAAATGTGCGACTCGGTAGCTCAATTGGTTAGGCCAACACGCACGCTTACTATGCCGGTTCAACTCCTGCCCGAGTCACTTTACAAAACCAACCTTGCTATTCCTCGTGAAAGCCACCGAGCATACTTCTGAACCCTCATGGGCTGCTGTGAACGTGTTGAAACACCTGTAGGACACAGTGTCCCAAAGCTTGACGGTACCGTCCGCGCTACCGCTCGCGAAATATTTACCGTTCGGTGAGAATCTGAAATTGTATCCAAGAACCGTTTGAACCGTACCGTTGTTGATAGGCTCGTTGTTGTAATAGTAGCAATGTATGGTTAATAAGCAACGGGTTGAACACCCACCGGGTTCAACCCGTTCCTAATCAATTTATAATTTTCCTGAAACATTTTGGACTTCGTCTGGAAATCTGGATATTAAATGGATGTGAGGACTATCGAGATACCGTCGTGACGAACCACCTTCCACAGATGTAAAAGTTTAATCGCGTTTCGTCTTCAGTCTGTGGATTTCCGAATATCAAATGCCATAAGAGATCAGAGCCTGTCCTTCTCTATCGTAAAAACTTTTTGTTGTCAAAAATACACGTGACAGATATTTTAATTCTCTTCCACAAAAAGAAAATCAATTCTTACCACATAATACGTTTTAACCGTTTAAGACGCGAATCATATTAGATAATTAACTTAACTTTACTCCGACGTTTCGTAAACTTTAAAACCGTTCAACTTGTGTTTAAAACCGGGTAAATTAAATGTACGACTCAAACTTACTTGATACAGTTCACTTGTTTCTTGTGGTGATGCGAGGGTATAGGGCAGACGAAGCACTGGCTAGTTGTGACGTCATAGAGGCGGATGACCGGGTGGGTGGTGGATGCTATTATGTGATCTCCGAGGGGGTGAAACGCGACGCAGAGCACTTGTTCAGCGTCCTGTGAAAAAGGGTAAAGAATTTAAGGTCGCATAAAAAAGTATTTAAATATGATGGCAAGTAAATTCCGGTCTGTAGCTTACGCATATTGAAATGAACCCTTTAACGGTTTAAAACGCGATATATATTAGCTAAACTTTAACAGCAGAACAATTTTAATAACAAACAAGTTTAACTAATATATATCGCGTTTTGAACCGTTAAAGGGTTCATATAAATGTAAAATCTTTATTTAAAATGAAAATTATTTTTCGACCTATCCGGCCGTCGTAATTAAGAAATGGTCGAGCGACTAAGGACTATTTATGGAAACGTCGAGAACTCTCTCGCGATTACATTCTACTCATCAGTTGTAAATTTTACGTAACCTACATAGTATTCCAATACATAGTTGAAAACTATGTGGTTATTATAATAAATATTATAATGAATATATTAAATTTAATACAAATACCGTTATCGACTTATACGCTTTCTTGGCGGAGGCTTTTGTGATGTCAAAAAGCTTTATACAGCAGTCCCTGGACGCGGAGACCAAAATTTGTTCACGCGGGTGAAAATCCAAAGCGGTAATCTCATCTGTGTGGTCGTACCTGAAATTAATATGAGAAACTTCTATCAATACAGTTATTGGCCACCATTTTGTTATATTAATTTAGGCTTCATAATTAAATGTATTAATACTTAATTTTAGGTCCTTTCATCATAAACGCTTTTTCTTAATTTAAATCTTTTATTGCTCTGTAATTCCATTAGCATTTAAATAAAACACTTTTAACAGTTTTTAATGCGAAATACTTATTTACAATTTATTTCAACTACGGAACGAATGAACATGGACGTCGTCCCTAATGTCAAAATCAAATCTGCCACACTAGCGCCATCTGTTTCTTTGTGATAAAGGAGGACTCGACCATATAGCATCTCATGACGACTTATTTTGGCTTTGGATATTTGAAAACACATACCGAAATTTATGTATGTTTTATGTAAGGATGTCTGTAAACATTTAGTCTTTAAAAAGTCAAATTCATTATCTTTCTGCTATGCCACACTGTTGTCTTAAAATTCAATAAGCAATATAGATTATAAATTCAACCGATAAGAGAAAAATGTAAAAAGTTTAAGAATCGGAAATAAATTGAGAGAAAACTTCGACTCAGACAGGACTTGAACCGGTCATCAATCATGTGCAAAAACATGTGAAAAATATTAAAGTTTTCAAAAGTCTTACAGTGTCCTAATAACAGGATGCCCTTGCTGTTCCCTCCCGGGATCCACTTCCTCCGGAGCCGATTTAGCAAGCATACGCTCTACATCCAGTATCTGTAAACAAATCATGATATATGTGTAATTACATATTATATATTCATATAGAACTTGCAAATTACGCCTGTGAACCTGTTTTGGTATTGGATATTCGGAAATGCAAAAGCTATATTGATGGAAAGATTAACGAAAACACCGTCAAAAGGAAAAAGCAGTTTGATTCCAGCCTGTGGATTTTGAAAAATCCAAAACCAAAATAAGCCGATTGTGCATCACGTTTAGATGGGTGGGATATTTCACCATCGATCATCCCAATCGACCCGATATTCCTATATTAATGCCATCTTAGTAGCCAAACCTTTATACTAGCATCCACACTGCCCGTAGCCACCAGTTGACCACACGAGCTGAACGCGCCGGCGCGGCACGCCATTTTGTGTGACGTCACGTACGCAGTCTCGTAGGTAGCGGGTTCCGGTGCGAGCGAAGACGCGTCCATTTCGAATTCCAAATCTGAAAAAAAATCGAATTTCAAAACTTCGAAATTATTGTACTTAAAGTAAATACTGTCTGTGGTTTATGCGAGTAGTACATTTAAATAAAACACATTAACGGTTTAAAACGTGATATTATATATTAGTTAAGCTCATTTGAAAATTATTTTAATTTCTTTCTTTAACTTCACGAGGAGACTAAAGATAGAGGTTGCTTTGAGGTCAAAATAAAAAAAACTGCTACGCTAGTGCCATCTGTTCCAACAAATCAAATCCGTCAAATAAGTTTAACTAATATACATCGCGTTTTAAACCTTTCAAAGTTTTTCATTTTAACTACTCAAGTAGTCTAAACACGCGAAAGGAAAACTAACAAATAAACAATTATAAAGAAATTGCAATAAATATAAATAATATGATTCTACATAATTACATTGTGCAAGAGGTACATGTATCAATAGGTTCAAGAAATTTAATGATGTGTGAGACATGGTGGGTCAATTTATAAGAGAAGCAGTGGGGATCACTATAGATGCCAGTACAAGTCCTGTCTGTATAATTAGTAATATTTTTTTCAATCTAAAAAGATTTTGCTAAAGAATAAACTTTACTAATTGTCAGTCTTAACAGACAGTCAGTTGTTTCTCGGAGCATGTCTACACTACTGTAGGTAGGTGGAGGCATTCTGGGTCTTTGAAAGAGGAATGCTTAGTACGTCTGGGCTAGACCGTGATGATTTAAAGAAAATGTGATTGTACAAGCTTATACACTTATCTAGAATAAGTCTAGATCTAGAACTCACCAAAACCTGTTGTTCCTAATAAATGTTCAGCCCCGCTGGATGCTGCTAATCGATCTTTCCTGTCTGGTTCATGCTGGAGACCGACCATGATAAGGTTAAGAAGTCTATAAATTAAAGTGTTCTTAAATTATTTAAAAAAATCTACAAATACAAAGTTATATTAGTATGTTTCTTGGGCATATTTAAGGTAGCATACATGTATATTTTATACTAATAAGCAATCTGTTGTAGGTGACTCCAGTTAAAAATAAAATAAATTAAAGGAATCGCAATACTAAGTTTGTGCTTCAGGTTATTTCTATAACATAATTTTATAAGATAAAAAATTACCTATCACTTGGAGGACATGGTGGGTCGGCATGAACAGCAGCTGATAGTGTGGCAGCTATTGGTTGAAATCCGTCATAGTATAACTGACTGAAAGCAAAACATGTAATCTGATTACTATTTCAGAAAAGTTCTTCTAACATATATAAAGCAATCAGTAATTTATGTAAATAAAATATTTCTCCATTTTTAATTACTATATGCTGTCTATAGTTTACGTGAGTAGGCCACATTAAAATAAAACTCTTTAACGGTTTAAATGCGATATATTAGTTAAACTTATTCGAAAATGGTTTTTAATTTTGGCCCCGACGTTTCAGATGCTTTGCAGCAGCCACGGCTTTATAATAATGATTAACTTATAAATTATTTTTTTTATGATTGAATCCAGCAAAGGTTTTTATTAGTTGAGGGTGAAATTACTCAGCCACATAACATCTGAACATAACGCGCTCTTAATAAGTTTAGGCTTTGAATATGCAAATCGATAGACTAATAAACTATAATATATGAATTTCACGGTTTTATCTTCTGTAGACAGTGGTTCGGGGCGAAATATTCAATATTTCTACCACCACCCAAATTCCAGACAAAGTCCAACTCACAGGAGATCAAACCCACGGCCCGTTGCCTATAAGCTATACAGTAAGGCCATAACCAGTGAGCAATTCGAAATATTGTATTTATTTAAGAGTAGAACATCAAAACTTTAAGAAGAAACTTTCGTGCAACAAGAAATACCTTATAATCATCCGATACATAAGTTCGCGGTTCTTGACAACATTCCTGGAGTCGATATCGCCAGTGTCTTCCTTCATTTTTTCGAAATTGCCGTCTAAAACTTGTGAATTTCTCGAAAAAATAGAAATAACCGGCACTCAATCTAACTAACCCTAAACAAAATTACTTTTAATAACTTAACGCTAAATGCAAACTGTCAAGTAATAATGTTTGACGTTTACGTTTAACTTATCTGACAGTGACGTTTATTGACATTTAACTTTACACAGATGTCACAAATCAATTAAACTTTTATTATCTACTCAACACACCACCTCTGTGGGAAGTTTCATACTGGCCGTCTGTATTACTAGTCTCAAATCAATAGTTTAGATCATGCGCCCCTGGTTCTTTATGTCTAACTAGCCTTCGCCACTAACTTCTTCTGCTACATAATTTTAAAAACATACTATATTCTTTGTAGTTTACCCGAGTAGTACACATTAATTAAAACACTATTAACGCTTTTAAATGCGAAAAATTATTATTATGATTATATTTAAGTAATTTATTTTAATCGATGTTTTGAAAGCAAACAATAATAAATTAATACATTTTGAGTTTTAAACAGTTAAAGTGTAACCTATTTATCTTTATCTATATACTATATATAAAGTTGAAGAGTTTGTTTGTTTGTTTGAATGCGCTAATCTAAGAAAATACGGGTTCAATTTGAAAAAATATTTTTGTGTTTGATAAAACACATTACATTGATAAAATACATACATACATTATTAATATTTTATTATCTAAATCTATTTCTAAAGTAAACCTAACTGTATAAATTATTGTTTACTAGCTGTACCCGCTACTTCGTCCACGTGGAATAGTGCCTTGGGGTAGAATTTTTAATTATTTAGGCTGTTTATTAATTTATGTAAGGGCACATGTAAGGCTGCCTATCTATGCTGCAAGTGTTACTTTGCCGCAACACTCTCACCTCACATCACTCCTACTCTAACTCCCATTCCCACTCCTATTCCCAAAAAGCCAAAGAAGAAAGTTTCATTGTTCTAGCTTCAAAAACCACGAATTTCAATACAAACTTTCATCCCCTATCAACCCTTATTTGGTATTAGTAAGTAGCGTATGTCCTTTCTCAGGCTCTAAAATATCTGTGTACCAAATTTTATTTAAATCAGTTCAGTAGTTTCGGAGTTAAAGCCGGACAGACAGACAGAGTTACTTTCGCATTTATAATATTAAGTATAGATTATAAGTAAGTAAGGCATATCTGTATGCATATATAATATGAACTAAGTCCACAAATGCGAATGAACGCGTTCTCTCTTCCAGCCGCTGCAAATGATTTAACATCAAACTGTTCACTTCACACTGGATTGCGTACCTAATAAAATTAAACGCTCTAATGATCCTCTCTGGGACACGTTTAAATGCCCTTATTTTAATATATGAACACCCTATATCTATACATATATAATAAGGTTAAGAATTTGTTTGCTCGAACGCGCTAATCTCAAGAACTACTACGTCCGAATTGAAGAATTCTTCGAGGAAGGCTATATATATACATATATATAAAAGGCTATAAAACATGGCGTTGTGAATAAGAGGGGCGATAATTTTATTCATTTTTGTTTATCAAATTTTTTCCTCGATAAATGTTAAAGCATTTAAATATTTATATTGAAATATTTAAAGGAAGGTTAAAAAGCGAAGAAAAAACAGAAAATGTGGAGAAAACGGGGAAAATTAATCATTTTTTTGGATATCCGTAGCGTACGCTGCGAAAGCGGTTCAAGATAACCAAAAAATATGTATAAAATAATGAACTAAAAAAATATCCCTGTTACTATATGTCTTTATTTTTAGAATAACTTACAAGAATCATCTTATTCGCGTTTTATAAAGATAAACACTGTTACAACAACAAATGTTAATGCCCAAAATGCTATTCTACGCGGACGGAGCCGCTGACACAGCTAGTATTTAATAATACTTTTCAATTCAATAAGAATGTTATATGAGTACATGACATTATTTAAATAGAGTGTTTTGTATTAATTTGTTTTTTTTACCAAGCTTTACTAGCATCGTTAAATGCTTATACAAAAAATAGATGTACTAGGATCGTATTAGCGAGCCCTAAAAAATAACACAGCTACAAACGAATCCAGTTTTTTCAGGATTTTTCATATTTGAATACTCGACCTGACTAACATTTTTCGCAAACAGTAACAAAGTATAAAATGGTTTGATTTACTTTGATGTGTTAAATACTACCGTATATTTTTTTAAAGCCAACTTTTATATCACAGTAGTTATGAGGTTAGCTCATAGATTGCTTAAAACATTAGTTATTTTAGTTTTTCAACAAGTATATAGTTTTGTAAAAAACAGAATTAGTTATGGGAGGGTAATTTTAAGAAGTTTTTAAAACCTTATCAAAACAAAGGCAATAACAACTGTCAGGAATGTGTCAGTAATCAAACATCAATCAATAGCGTGTCGATGACAAATCTTGACTTGTTCTTTACATGTCAAAAACAAACAACTATTAAAAAATAAAACAAGAAATAATGCGTTTATTATCACAAAGTACATAATTTATAAGTAAAATAAGTAATAAAAAAGAAAACTTACAATTAAAAGGATACAAAAACAATACAATTTTAACTTTGTGCTAAAAGGCATCAAGACTCAGCATGCTTGCTAAGCACTGATTTTCAGTCTGTCTCTATCAGATAACAAGTATGAAATATTGTGGAAAGGTTGGACCGAACTTAAAAAATGATAAATATGACATATTTTATTTTAATATAATTTTAATTTATTATAATATAATTATTGTATATCGGATGTTATTAAATTGTGTAACGATAAATTCGATATACAAACTCTAACGATACTCTCTGAAGAAACAGATTGAAAAATATCATATTTGATTGAAAACTACATATCTTTTTTTCCTGGCTTTATTATGAGTTATTAGTATTTTCTAGAGTAAAAACGGTTTTTTTTGTATACATTACATATCTGGACGCCCACAGATACGATTTGGGCATTGCTCCTTCGAACCTGTCAAGTGTCAATTGCATTTTAATCATTTCTATATAACTATTTATAATCTATGGTAAATTGTAGCCAATTGTGCGGTTTCCCTCTGTACATGCCGTTTGTGTTCTTGTCAACTGTCAAGATAATTTGGGATTTGTCTGTGAATTTATTTTAGTTGTTATTGTTAAATATGCGAGAATTACACTCTTACAGCTCTCGTGAATACGCTAACATGTTAATGTGTTACGGTGAAGCGCGTGGAAATGCTTCACATGCTTTAAGAATATATCGCGAGAGGTTCCCGGACGTCCAACATCCTAGTGATTCACGTCAAATTTCGACAGCGTTTCAAAGAGTCCTTGAGAATAAACCAATTGTACCTACCTCTATTGGAGGGGGACGGCAACTCGATTTGAGAATAGAGGAGCGAGTTCTAAAGGCTGCAAGGAATAACCCTGATCTAGGTATCAGAGGACTGGTACGGCTTTTGCAACGTCGCGGGGCCAACACTGTTTCCACCTGTACTGTAAGCAAAATTTTGCGTCGCAATAAAATTAAACCCAACAATGATCAAAACGACAAAGTATTGGCGTCCAGAAATATTGCTCACCGTCGTGAATTCTGTAAATGGCTGGTAGCTAAAACGGAAAACGTACCAGATTTTGTCCATCATGTTATCTGGACGGATGAGGCCACATTTACCAGTAATGGCATGATGAAGTCTCATGCTTATCAGGAAACAGAAACCCAACCTTGTTGGACAGTGAATGTCTGGGCAGGTGTATACGGGAACAGAATACTGGGACCAGTATTTTTACCACAAATTATGGATGGGGAGGATTATCTGCAGTTTATTAATTCTTTTTTAACTGATGAATTAGATAACTTACCTTTAACAGCTATACAGCGGTTGTGGTTTCAACACAACGATGCTCCATCCCATACCGTAAAACCAGTGTGTGATAGATTGGCAGCTCTGTTCAAAGACCATTTAATTGGACATTATGGGCCACAGGCCTGGCCACCAAATTCTCCAGATTTAGCCCCACTTGATTTTATGTTGTGGGGTTACATTAAAGACCGTGTGTACAATAGGCCGTGTGGTAGTGCGCTGGAGATGCGCTGCAGGATCTCTGAGGCAGTAGAAAAACTGAGGTCAGACTGTCAAAAAGATGTAACCCTGATGCCTTGTCTACAAGAAAAGATGATACGACGTGCAAGAGTGTGTCTTAATAATCACGGGTCTTATTCGAAATGATCCTTTCAAAATTGCCCATATTTGTTGAATAAATACATTAAAAAATCATCCTGTCTAATCTAGTTAGCAATCGGCAAATTGTGTATCGCATGAAATCCGTCCAAGATATTTGAATATACTCCCGAGTACACTACTAGTTGGCATATACAAAATACTACTAATAATGTTTATAGTCCTCCTTTGGCGTACATTAACCTTTGTGTATTTACTTATAATTGTTGATTGACAACTTATTCTCAATTACATGTACAACAATTAAAGTCAAATGGTTTTAACCCCTACTATGACTCTAAAGACTCCCAAGTGTCGGATGTACCAATAATCTGGCCCTAGTCACATAAATTTTATTAAAATATATATCTTTTTTTTCTTTACGGCTAACAACCACAGAATTAACAAAGTTAGAATCTTAGCCCTTACATATTAAGAACTTGATAAATTTGTGTTGCCCTTACATATTAAAAACTTTTAATAAATTTTGTGTTGTAATTAATTTCTCTTTTTTCAATGTTTAGACACTGTTATTGTTATAAATAAGTAATGCTGTGATTGTAAGTTAAATACCTCTGTGCTAGGTTGTAAAGCGTAAAATTATAGTGTATTACAAATTATTAGGATTTTTGTTGATAAGCCTTTAAGAAATAAATAATTACAATTAAATGTGTTTAATGACTAGCTGTTGCAGCGACTTCGTCCGCTAAGAATATTTATTTTGGACATCCAAATTCGTTTTTGCAAAGAGGAATCATTACCTCACTCATAATTTTAGGCTTCTTGAACCGTTTTTGCATCGTACGCAACGGAAGCTCATAATGATAAATAATTTTCCCATTTTTTTTTTCATAATTCTAAATGCTCTAACCGACACAAAAATAATTTTTCAATTTGAACCCCTACGGGTTCCTGAGATTAGCGCGTTCATACAGACAAACAAACTCATTAGCTTTATATATTAGTATAGAACTAGCTGATTGTTCTGTTCTTTACAAGAATAATATTGTTAGGTTGACTGATTTCTAAACATTGGTAATAATGCAGTAATTTCGAATGAAATTTCATTACAATAAAAATGCTTCTTGTGAGCAAATAATTTTTAGATCATTAAAAGAGGAATCAGTCTCGTATACATACATTCTTGTTTCTTGAACCGCTTTCGTGGCGTAATGGAAGCTCTCAAAGGTGAATATTTTTCCCACATTATGCATTGTTTTCCGATCCTCGTGCTCGCAGCGTGATGTTTTAAAGCCATCCTGGATAAATACTCTAACAAACACAAAAAATATTAATTCGAACCAGTAGTTCATGAGATTAGCGCGTTCAAACAAACAAACTCTTCAGCTGTATAATATGTATTAGAATAGATGCATTGTGCCATCACGACGCCTAGACATTTGACAATAGGTAAGTATTTTTGAAGCGGGCGTATTTTCTTTTTATGATCATGGAGCACAGACATGGCATGGGGTTTACATGGTGATAGGTGATATGGCCTATAGCATCTAAAGAAGATGGGCTGTAGGCTTTGGTTTGGAAATCCACAGACTGAAACCGAAACGCGATAGGTGTCACGGCTTTTTCATCTGTGGAGTATGGTTCGTGACCTGGACGGAGTTTCTATATACCGCCCATTTAATATTCACGTATCCAGACGAAGTTCAGCATATTTAAAAAAAAATAGAACTATGTTGGTCAAAAAGTCCCGAAAGTCCGTTTCCGAGTCGAAAATTTTTTTCAATTTATTTTCGATTTTTAAATTATATAGTGCCTTCATGTGCAATAACATGTGAAAAATATTAATGTTTTCAAAACTACTATACCACCCATGACTCCAAAAATTAATATTTTTTCTTACAAATTCCCTTTGCCGCAATTCGAACAAATTCAGACAACGCATGGGTTCACCCACAATATTTAAGATTATAGATATCACATTAAAAAATAACTTTAAAATGCTTACCATTTTGAGTTTGACAGTACATAAAAACAATTATCACAGAAATCTCTCATACACATTCCAGGTCTTGCTAACAGGATGCAGATGTGTAGAACTAGACTGCTGGGATGGAGATGATGGGAATCCAGTCATTTACCACGGCCACACGTTCACCACAAAAATACCCTTTCGGAGGGTAGTTGAGACAATAGCCAGGTAAAGTATATTCCAAGACAGAGACATAAGTATACGATGTTAATGTTAAAAATTAGTCGAAAATTAAGAATAGGTCTGAAACACAATGAATAACAACATAGGCTGGTTTTAAACTATCTATCGAATGAAGGACATGCTTGTCATCCGCCATAAAACATGTAATATGACAAACAAAAGATACATATAACTATTTTTTTTAAGACGGGCTCGTAGGTGTAATAGTTGCAAGTTATGGCTTTCGATTCGGTATCGATGGGCAGTGGGTTCGATCCCCACCGGGTCCTACATATTTATAATTTATTTTTAAACGGATGGTAAGAATATCGAAATTCTGTCCGGGTTACGAAGCATCGTCTTAATGGGTTTGTATCCCATGCAAATAACAGTTTTTATAAATAATTTCGGTCGGGCAAGGCACTGAAGTCTGATCAACTACTTCTTTGTATTTAAAACCGATCCGTGAAACGAGTAGAAATGTATTTGCACAACGTTCCATGGGGAATTAGTTTATATTTCTACTGTGCAGTAACAATATATTAGTTTACAATACAAGATTATACATATATTGTTTACTTATAAAAAATTCGGAAAGAGAGGCATTGCTGGGCAAAATTAAAATCAAGTAGTACGATTCAGAACTTCAAAACCAATGACGAAGTTGATGAACAACTTAACGACAGTTTTTTACGCGCAAAGTTTTTTTTAACTGAACAGCTTTCTATCGCAAGCCAGTTCGAAATTTAAATGAAATCTTTTACAAATTACCTCTTTGATCGCCATGTTGTGGAGTAGATCGTTCTGTTTTTAAATTTATTTGGCAGCTAAAAACGACATACAGATTTTCTTACAACCGTTTCCATCTGAAAGAATGCTCAAATTTCCAAGCAGGTTTAAGAAATATATATGCTAATGCTATTAACTAAATCCGTTTCTTAATGATATTTCAGAAGTGCCTTCGTAACGTCTCCCTATCCATTAGTACTGAGTATTGAAAACCACTGCAGTCTCCCACAACAGCAGGTTATGGCTAGCACATTTGAGGTCAGTTTGAAGATGCAAAGTATAAATATCAGTTTAAGTTAATCTATACTAATATTATAAAGCTGAAAAGTTTGTTTGAACGCGCTAACCTCAGGAACTACTGGTTCGAATTGCTAAATTATTTGTGTGTTAGTTAGAACATTTATCGAGGAAGGCTTCAGACTAAAACATTGCGTTGAGACTAATAAGACCGAAGAAACAACGGGAAATGTGGAAGAAAAATGGGGAAAATCTTTAAGGGTTCCGTTGCGTGCGACGAGAAAATGTATAAAAGAATGATTCCTCTTTAAATGATCTAAACAAATGTGCAAAACAGACGACGGAGCGCGAAAAATGTTGTGGGTAACAGCTATAGTTTATAAAGAATTGGAGGAGGTTTGCAAAAACAAATTTTGATACCCAAAATAACTATTCCACGCGGACCAAGTCGCGGGCACTGCTAGTAATATATAATAATGTAAGTTTACTAGTTCTGTTTTCATCCAGGCAGTGTTTGGAGACCAATTGGTGACGTCATTCTTATTCGACGTGGATTACACGGATGAGCCAAGGCTGCCAAGTCCAGAACAGCTTAAGTACAAGGTAGGAAGGTTATCCGAACGAAGCGTAACCGAACAACTGAACCGAATTTCTATCGGATTTAATCGAAAACTAAAAAGTATATCATTGTCTTTCTGGCTGTTCTGCCGATGTGAGCGAGACGAGATTCTCGACGTTTCGGTTCGACGTTTCCGTCAAAATGTCTACTAATGAAATATATTAGTAAAAATGTCTGCCCATCTTCGGGGCCAAATAACTTTTATATGCATATAATGTTTCAGGTCTTAATAAAGAACAAAAAACTACTTCCAATAGAGTCCAGTCCCACGATTGGGCTAACGGGAGCCACGTCAGTCCACGGTGGTGTACTCTCATCTACTTATAGGTATGGAAAGTTTAAAACATATAGACAAGTTTTAAGCAGCAGCAGACAAGTATATTTTTTCTAACTTGGCACAAGACCACAACGAATATGGCCGATGTCAAACCATAGAGTTAGTGATGCCCTTTCAAAGAGTGTAGTCAATGCGACAGATGACATAGAGTTAAAGAAAAACCCATTATATATGGACCAAAAGACCTCAACATTCAAAATTCAAATTCACTTTTATGGCGACTTCTTTCTTAATTTTTTATAATAATTTAATTTTATGGTTTAAAACGCGTGACCAAGGCTGCTGCAAAGCATCCGAAACGTCAGGCCGAAGAAAAAAACAATTTTCAAATAAGTTTAACTAATATTTATCGCGATTTAAACCGTTAGTGTTTTATTTAAATGTGTACTACTCGCGTAAACTACAGAAAGCATGTCATTTATGTAATACGAGAGGGAATTTTACTTTTTATTTTTATTGTCTTTGCATCCAATCTGTACGTCAATATCAAGCTGAAGACATTTTAATCAGTTCATTTACTAAGACTCCAATGTCCCATAGTGTTTTAGTCGTAGTAGAAAATCACGATGTTATGTAAATTGTGTTTAAATAAAACACTTTTACGGTTTAAAATGCGATATATTAGTTAAACCTATTTGAAAATGATATTTAACTTCGGCCCGACGTTTCGCGTTTTAAAGTGTTTTATTTAAATGTGTAGTACTCGCGTAAACTGTAGACAGTATGTAAATTGTGTGTTTGTTTACTAAAAATGTCAATTTGAAGCTTTATATATTAGTAGTATAGATATATTATAATATATACATTTTTTAATTGATCAGGGCAAATGGCCTACGTCAAACCAGTTCATCGTTGCCTGAAGCGAGCAACCGCAGCAGTTCCATCATGTCCAATCAGTCCGCTGGTTCTTCACTCACCGAATATCTGTCAGATGAAGATTATGATGAAGATGATGAGTTCGAAGGTATGCTTGAAATTGGCAAAGACCAATGTCTAAAGTCATAATAGGTCGACAGCGGATGTGTGCATGTTATGTGGGTGGGGTATTTTACCCACCATCATGAGCCTTACGATTGTCTGACCACTATCATAAAAAAGGAAACTAGTTTGCTTTTTTTACATGAGTGACTGGAAAACTTTACCACAGGTTATAATTGACATTTTGTATGTAAAATCACTTCGCTTCGTACCAAAATGAAAGCCTCACTTTGCGTCTAAATTTTACCAGGTTGCATCTCAAGAACTGACAATTCTGTATGCAATTTGTGTATCTGACATTTATTTCTTTGAAACCCATCGAGCTCAAGTTCGACTCGAGCTTGGCCAAATTTATGTGTCAATGAATAAAACCACTTTTACAGAAAAAGAACTCAACAAAATTCTCAATTCCATGGAGGAAAAGGCCGGCCGGTCCCTTTCGCTCTATCAAAGTTTCCGTAGGAGTGAGGGAGACGGCGATACATCCGGCAGTCTAAAGCACGCAGCCAATAGAAAGAGGAGCAACCAAATTGCGCGGGAGTTGAGCGATATGGTCACTTACGTACAGGTAATTCTACAGTCGGTCCAATAGTGGCTATGTATGGCTAATAATTTACAAGTTGCTGGTTCGACGCTTACTAAGTCTTTGTTTGTTTAAGTCTACCTTCTATTTTCTTCTCTGTCTTTGAACAAATACATTGAAAATCCCTTTCCCCTTAAGTGGGGAATAAATCGGACATGCTTCTGTGTCTGTTTTATCAGTTAATACAATCAGTATTGTCTGTAGTTTATACGACTGGCATATATTTAAATAAAACACTTTGAACGCTTTAAAACGCGAAATACATATAAATAATTCTTTTTAACTACGACCCGTACGATTTATAGTTAAATAAAAAGTTTCACTTCTATTTAGAGCCATCAACCAGCATTTAGAACCATTAAGATACTTTTATTTAAAAAAAAACAATTTGTTAATTCGATTTCCACGCTAGATAATTAAACGTCTACGACCTGGTATTTCGTAAAGCGTGGATTGGAAAAGCGTCAGAAAAAGTGATTTTCAAAATTGACAGTTTTGTTCCATATTTAATCTGTGGCAATAATTTCACTCTTCAAAAGGCCATTACTAGTTCTCTATGGTTTAGTATCGGCCATATTTGTTATGGTCTTTTGCCAAGTTATAAAAAATAAACTATAGTTATATTGTATTTATTAACATAAGTGAACATGAATAAATATTTAGCTCTTCACCAGGCTATAAAATTTCGCGGCCTCAGTCCCATGTCTCCACGCAGCTCGATGAAGCAGCCAAACGTCAGAGACACAAACGTGGCGCCTTGCAGTAGCTTCGAGTCTTCAGAGAGCAGCGACAGTACAGCAACGGTATGGCTACAAATAAGCGACGTATCTATACTTAACAAACTCTTAGGTATATATAAACCTGAAGAGTTTGTTTGTTTGAACGCGCTAATGTCAGGAACTCAATAGTTCCTAGTTTTTCAATTCGAACCAATGTTCGACTTGAAAAATCTTTTTTGTTTTGGTCAGGGCTATGTTGTATTGTGTTAGGTTAGGTTAGGTTAGGTTAGGCAAAAACGAATTTGGATGCCTAATATAACATTTCACCCAGACGAAGTCGCTGACACAGCTAGCCTATCATAATCAGAAAGATTTTCACAAACACTTTTGTTGTTCTTTTTTCAAAATTTCTTTTTCTATAGCAATTACTAAGCAATCAGCATAGAGGGCGCTGCTTGAATGTACCAGCTATGCACCACCCTTGCTACCGTTGCTCCTCAGTCAACGAAGCGATCGCGAAGAAGATCTGCAGAAAGCATCCGTTAGCGATAATAGCACATACTGAGAGCCAACTTGTTAGAACATATCCCGCCGGGTAAGAATCCAGAAAGCCTTACACAATTTCAATCAAGGCCATAAAAATATTGTTTCATATATATAAAAAACAAGAATAAAACTTGCCTGTAGTTCACGAAAGAAATGTACAAATAAATAGAGCACTTGAAACGGTTTAATACGAGATATTTATTAGTAGAGCTAATTTTAACTACGGCCCGATTTTTCCGATGATTTGCAGAATCTGTGTTCACATGGAGACTTTTTAATACATTTTGCGTTTTGAAACATTAACAATGTTTTATTTTAAGAAATAAAACTGTCATTAATTTAATATTTTTTATCTCATTTCCAAAACAATATTGGACTTCTCTGACAGGCTCCTCGGTCTGGCTGGAATAATAGCTAATAAACAACGAAATGTGGGTTGGATCGCTACCAGGTCCAACTTGGTTCCCGGAGAAACAATAGATTGTTTCAGTCACACTGTTTATAGAAGTCACTTTAAGTAATTGCCGGTAAAAAAGTTCGAAACGGACACAGAAATGTGCTCGCCCCATACCCGACTGAGAAAGCAGGAGGTCGGGCTGGGTCTAAGTCTGTTCAACAGTGAATCCTATGCGTGTCTCTCCTGATCTATCTGATAAATATTGTAGTTTTAAATTCCTTATGTTTTTACAGCCTAAGAATTGACTCGTCAAATTTCGACCCAGTTTTGTTCTGGTCTTGCGGCGTTCAGCTAGTGGCTCTGAACTACCAGACAGAGGACGCAGCGATGGCAGTCAACGCGGCTATGTTCGAGAGCAATGGCTGTCTTGGCTATGTCAGGAAACCGAAGGTTATGTGGGACCCCAACCACATTGCGTATAGACGGTAGGTAATTGTAATAACGAACTTTCTTATAATAATTAAAAATCTCTTCGGAACTGCAGACGTTGACAATTTTAGAGACTTTTACTTTATTTGTGTTAAGTAATTATTCTTTTACATAAACTCCATTGCATGGCTAAAAATAGAAGTCTATACGTTGTTTGTTCAAAATCCAAAGAAATTAGAAAACAATTAAATTACATACGGATAGTACTTATTTCAACAGCATTTTGAATTTTTTTTATCATTTTCTTAACCCTGTTTTTCTACCATTTAGTCTCAGAGGTCCTGGGTCGAACTACCGAAGGCTTATATTTTCGATATTACTTTATAGTTGCGATCGGGCAGGGCACGGGAGTCGCCTCTAATTACTTGGGGATCGTTCAAGTATTACGTAAGCACTATAGGGGGGTGGGGGGGTCTGTGTTTTGCTTATTTTTGATGACATGGGGGGTAGGGGGAGTCCAGATGATGATTACGTCATCGATATTTATTTACTTTTTTACACGAATGGCAACCACCACATTTTTAATTGAAAAATGTTTACGTAAGCACGGGGGGAGGGGGTAAAAGCTTTGCTTACTTTTGCTGACAAGGGGGATGGGGGGGTAAATAATTGTAATAAATCTGCTTACGTAATACTTGAACGGCCCCTTGTCTATTGGTTAAATTTATCACAGACACGGATACAAAAGATGGCAATGAGTGACAAACATTGTCGGAAGCCACCATTTGCGATATTGTACTTGCTATTTATATAATATCGTATCAAAATTTTGTAGGACATATACCTCGCAATAACTATTAATTAAAACACACCTCTGTCTGTTACCTTATGTTAAATCTTATCAATCATGAGGCTCTTCGCTTTCAGGTTCAATCCGATGGACAAAGAATTCGACGGCATCCACGCAGCCTACCTCACTCTTGCCGTCATCTCAGGGCAGTACGTGGCGGAGAACGTGTACTCTTTCTACAACGCGTTTGTTGAAGTGGAAGTGTTAGGAGTTCCAGCAGACTGCAAGAAGATCAAGACGAAGGTCGCGAGGAAGAACGCTCTGAACCCCATTTGGAACGAAACTTTTACGTTTAAGGTGAGTGGCAATAGCTTAGTTTAGTATATAGCTTAAATAAATTGAAAAAATCACGACACATGCAGGGCTTGCGGCATTCTCAGCGTTCCGTGCTGTTCTAACAAATTAAACTACCGTCTCGCACACGTCATCGATTTTTTTCAATCTATCGATACACGCAGCTCTCGCGCAATTAATATGGTTATTCTTAATTTATAGTATAGTGCCATCATGTGCAATAACATGTGAAAAATAATATAGTTTTGTATAGATTAGGATTGGAATAAACTTATTTGAAATAGCTAAGATTGGAATAATATTTGGTCTACGATTAGAGTTAGAAAAATATTTTATTAGTACATTTATTTTGTGGATATATTTTGGCAAGAAGAAAAAAAAAACAATGGACTGTTTTTCTAAATAAAACACTTTAACGGTTTAAAACGCGATATATTAGTTAAACTTATTCGAAAATGATTTTTAACTGAGCCCCCCCCGTGACCACGGCTGCTGCGAAGCACCCGAAACGTCGGGCCGAAGTTAAAAATCATTTTCAAATAAGTTTAACTAATATATCGCGTTTTAAACCGTTAAAGTGTTTTATTTAAATTTAAGAAGCACCCGGTTTGTGCCGAAAACAAGGTAAAAAGAGACTGATAACATCATGTCGCAACATTTTAAACTACGACCGGACATTTCAGATTTACGAGTGAAGTTAAAAGTGTTTTACTTACTATGCTATTCACGTGTGTGTGAAATCCTGCTTTCGTGGGGCACGGGGCGAACATATTTCTGTGTCCGTTTTACTGAACGGTTTTTTAATTACATGCAAGTAGTTGATCAGACTTCTGTGCTCGACGGAAACAGTTTAGTGTTGCCCCGGGATTCAAACCCCTCTCACGCTCAACGCAATGCTAAGCAACGCGTTAACCATTTAGCTACAGATACGGTCATGCTAGTCACGTACTACACATTAATACCAGGTCATTCGTTTCTTCAATTCCAGGTTAATTTTCCCGAGCTGGCACTTATTCGGTTCGAAGTATATGACGCGGATACGAACTACATGTTGTCGCAGAGAGTTATCCCCTTGCTGTGCTTAAGACCTGGTTATCGTCATGTCAGACTGAGGTAATGGTCTATCTATACTAATGTATTAAGTTGAAGAGTTTGTTTGTTTGTATGTTTGAACGCGCTAATCTCAGAAACTACGTGTTCGAATTGAATGGTAATGGTGGCGCGATGGTTTATTGCGTATAACCTTCCTCGATAAATGATCTATGAATCAATATTTTTCGATTCCCACCAGTGGTTCCTGGGATTAGCGCGTCCAAACATACAAACTCTTCAGCTTTATACATTAGTATAGAATAGAGTTATATAGGTATAATATTATGTAACTTAAATAAATGTACTTCTTTTAAATAAAACACTTTAACGGTTTAAAACGCAATATATTAGTTAAACTTTTGAAAATAAGTCTCCTCGTGACCACGGCTGCATTTGCAAAGAAACCAAAACGTCGGACCGAAGTTCATCATTTTTAAATAAGTTTAACTAATATATCGCGTTCTAAACGGTTAAAGTGTTTAATTTAAATGTGTACTACTCGCGTAAACTATAGATAGTACTACGTACTTCTTATTCTTCATTTTTTATTGATTCTAGGTCACCTACAAACCAAGCGTTGAACATGGCGTCTCTCCTCATTTTCTCGCGGTGTGCAGAAGAGGTGGCTGGTGAGCCGTGCCGAGCGGACATCGAACCTACGTCCCCAACACAGAGGAGAAAAATCCACTTCATAGTGGTACATGCCGTGCTGTTAAGCGAGCCATACTCTATTCTGAAGGTCACCCATGATACTACTGCTAATGAGGTTAGCTATGATTATTTTATCACTTATCAAAGATGATTAACGGTTTAAAACGCGAAATATATTATTAATTTTATTTTACATATACAGTTCGTGTTTAATACCATAAAAGGTGTAGATAAAATATATAACCTATAGTGCACACTACAGTCATAAAATACTTTTTTCAAATTGAAAAAATTTACGGACGCGATCGGAACTCGAACCTACGACTAGAGCGTTGCTCCAAAAGACTTTACTTTGCAGTTTGCAATTGTTTTTTTACTGTGTATATTTGTTTTCCACTCATCCTGAGGTAGTGAAAAAATCATACGATATTTTTATTAAAAAATAATTTTGTATTTAAAAAATATGATAACTGAGGTACTGTACATATTTGTGGGCGAATAGCTACACCGCGTCGTCGGACCCAGTCGCGGACCAAATTTTTTTTTGTGATATATGAGGACATAAACACGGGGTTCCCTTGATCGTAAATGAAATACCCGAGCCATATAACATCTAAACAAGATGCGACGTCTACCTATTTTCGCTCAGGATATTCGGAAATCCCAGACTGTAACCGAAACGCGATGAAACTTGACGGCTGTATACATTTTTTATGAAATAAATGAAAATTCTTCCACAGGCAATAGCCCAGTGCCTGACGAAAGCTGGTGTCTGCCGTTCAGCGAGAGGGAATTACGTCTTGGTTGAGGAAGTGCCATCTCGAGCCCCAACGCAAAGGGTTCTAGCGCCCCACGAGAGAGTGCTGAAGGCTGCCACATCTAGACCTGGAGCCAGATTGGTTTTGAAAAGAGTCGGTGATGATCCTAGCAGCCGGGCTTGGCTAACAAGTATAAGGTAAGCTTTTCTTCACATGTTATTGATTTCGATTATAAATTTTAAAAAATCACAACACGTCAGGACTTGAACTGGCATCCTCAGAGTTCTGAGCTATTGCTCGAACCAATTGAGCTACCGAGTCTTGTACGTAATCGTTAAATTTTTTCAACCTATTAATATAATTTAAAAATCAAAAAAAATTTTTTTTATAATTTTCGACTCGGGCAGGACTTGAACCGGCTTAGCACCCGCTGTCACAAGTAGATTTCGCGTTTAAAACCGTTAAAAGTAATTCGATTAAATGACCGTCTAGTTTATGTATACAACATAGAACTATGGAACGATCTCGACATTTTTTTTAGTTAGTAGTTGAGATAATATTCTCTTCTTTCCAGGTCCACTTCCGACAAGATTCAGTCAGTTCCGTCTGATGAAGAATCTCAAGAGGAACCGAGCAAACCAGCTGATAGCTTCTTGGTTTGCGTTCACAATGTCTGCCACGAAATACCATATGCAATTCTAAAAGTAAGTTTAAGACTGTCTATAGTTTACGCGAGTAGTACACATTTAGATAAAACACTTTAACGGTTTAAAACGCGATATATTAGTTAAACTTATTTGAAAATGATTTTTTAACTTCGGCCCGACGTTTCGAAAGCTTCGCAGCAGCCGTGGTCACGGGGAGACTCCGGAGAACGTCGGGCCGAAGTAAAAATCATTTTCAAATAAGTTTAACTAATATATCGCGTTTTAAACCGTTAAGGTGTTCTATTAATATCAGTTTAAGAACCAAGGCTGTTTTAGTGTGGATTTTGACTACTGTTCCTACTAAATTATTGTGAATAACATGGAGACGATGACACTGCTTCTGTGGGTTTTTACGATAGAGTAACGGAAGCATGGGCATTTGACATAGGCCTAATGACCTCACATGATGGTCATCCGAAACGCCAGGTCTTCATTAACAATATGTCAACTTATTGATTTCGCGTATCAAACCGTTAAAAAGTCTCAAGGCATTTACATAGCGATAAACATTGATGTTTTCTTATCGTATTGCATTGTATATCTATGTGTTTATTCTTTGTATCATCTTCATCAGGTACCTCTGACTGCCACAGCGTCATACGTTATATATCAAGCATTGACGAAAGCCAGATGTTCTGATGATCCTAAAAGGTAATCTTTAAAAAAATATATATCTCAGTACAGTGCTCTCCAAACTCTTTGGTCGGGCTGAAGTTAGCGCGCATGGTTGCGCAGAACGCAAAAAGCAAGCATCTGCGACAAGGGGGTGCGCGGGTGCGGGGCGGGACGACATATTGCTTAAAAATGACAATACCATGCGCAAGATGGCGGTCGCGCTAACTTCAGCCCGGCTAAGTTTGGAGGACTGTATGTGAGTTAATAATAGAAATGAGTTAATAGGAAAAGACCACGCCCACTAATCATGCTATCCTTGTTCTTTATAGGAAAATGTGAGAAAGAGACAACGCTCTATTCACTCGTTTAGGTGTTCCTCTTATAATTAGAGGATTGACAAACTTGCAATTCACTGGACAATTCAGTGGACGTAAGACAGACGAAATTATAATATTCTACCCCCATTTAAATGTCTAGATTTTCTAGGCTATTTTTAAAAGTATGTGTGGTTGAGATGTGGTCCGTTGAGAATCGGACCTACGAGCTGATGGTTTGATTTTAACCAAGGCATACATACCATTGAACAAAACACTTCCTAGTATACAATGTATATGTTTATTTTAGATTTATGTTAGTCGAAGAATTGGAGTGGGGAGGTCGGGCTAATTCGGGACCGCAGCATCGAGCCTTAGCTGACGACGAAATTGTATACACTGCTCAGGTGAGTCCTCTTACAATATCATGCATATGATATACATATATTCCCAAACAAGATGTGTCAGCGACTTCGTCCGCGTTGAATTGTTATTTTGCACATCCAAATTTGTTTTGTTGCTTGCGCGTCTCGCCGTTATTGCAAGTTAATCTAAGATAGACATATAGTGACGCGGTGATAATTTTAGATTCTTATAAAGGAATCTATTCTTTCATACACATTTTTTTTTCACATTTCTCGCTGTACCTTTGCTTGTATTAGTCACAGAGCGATGTTTTATGGTTTAGCCTTCCAAAAGAATATTTTTTTTCAATTCGAACCAGTAGTTCCTGAGATCAGCGCGTTCATAGTAACTAACAAACTCAAATTATTTATTTTTCTTGTTAGGCGAATTGGAAAACGTTGGGTAGATTCGTCTTACAAGAGAGAGGCAGTACAGCACCATTGCAGATGCCGCGCCACAGAGCCTGCATAGCGAGGATTCAGAGAGGACTCAGCATGACCAGAGGGGCTATAGCTGGTAACGCTATTGAAATTTGCATGCATACTACATTTATCAAGACATGCGTAGAACTCACTTATGGGACATATTAAACTAAACATAAACTAAAATTGTTTAAACTAACACTGTCACGGTTTAAAACGCGATTATAATAGTTAAACGTATTTGTAAACGGTCACGGAGCGGTCTCTCCGTGAAAATAGTTTAAAAATAGGTTTAACTAATATATGCTTTTAAACTGTTAAATGTATATTTAAATGTGTACTACTATCGTAAACTACAGAGTGTTTAACATATTAAGTTGTTAACCATTTAGATCTTAGCCAAAATAGACCGGCAGCACATCTAGTCTAGAGGTCTGTCGACCTATTTTGACTTTGGACAATCGAAAATCTACAGACCACTTAAACGCGGTTTTACTCTTCACACTTAACATTCAGTCGGTGGTTCGTGACCTGGTCGGAATTTCGATATTATTTCTACCACCCATCTAACGCTCAGATAATTGCTGTGGATTTGGTGAAAATCGAACCCGCGACCCGTTGGTTATTTACTATACGTTCCGTCCAAAAGCTTCTAGACAGACTTACCTCCGTTTTCGGTTTAAAACGATAATGCGTAACTATATTTTTTTTTCAAAAACCGCACGGTTCCTGGCAAACGGTAAAATTTCCTGATTGAACCCGTTAAAAGAGTACAACGCGTTTAAAGTACAAACAGTACTTTTTTTCCTTTTCTCTTCTTTTGTATATTGTTTAAACCTGCCAAAACTAATTTTAGATTTTTTCTTTAAACATTGTTTATTAAAATACGAGAAACTTAAGTTTGTCTGTTGTTTACGCGAATATACCCATAAAAAAAAATAACGGTTTAAAACTAATATTTTACGTTTTTTAAAGCGTTAAAATGTCTTTTATACATTGATATTGGTATGTAGTCGAACTTCTTGGTATAGTAGCATTGTATGGCTGAATATTTCGATTCCCATCAGTTTTTTATTTATATAGGTACAACAGGATTCCCACTAGTGGGCACTATGACGTCACACGAGACGATAGAAAAAACCCCAGTCCAGACGGCGTATAGCGATCCAACACATTGCAGGTAATGCTTCATTATATACAAGCTGTGACAGCGACTTCGTCCCCGTAGAATACTTGTTTTGTTTTTTTTTTAACCTCTTTATCTTTATAAATTCAAGCTGTTACCCACAACGTCGTTCGCGTCCCGTCGTTCTCGCAAGTTAATCTTAAAAGAATAATATAGTGTCGCGAACATTTTTTCTGATTATTTAACGTGGAAAATTTCCTCTATACATATTTTTTGCATGTCTTGAACCGTTTTCGCAGCGTACGCATCAGAAACCCACAGAGATGAAAAAGTTCCCCCGTTTTTTTTTCACATTTCCCGCTGCTTTTTCTCTCCTATTAGTCACTGCGCGCTGTTCTAAATAACACAAAAATATTTTTTTTCAATTCGAACCAGTAGTTCTTGAGGTAAGCGCGTCGAAACAAATAAACAAACTCTTCAGCTTTATATATTAGGTAGTATAAATGTATATGATATAATATCAAAATTGATTTGGATTAAAAACACGCTAACACACGGTTGGCACGCTATCTTCAAAACGTCTCGCTGACAAACATTATTTTAAGATCTGATGATTTAAAATAATTATAGTATCAAACTTAAGGAATAAAAATAAATAACTGAAGTATTCGGTATGCGGCTGAATAGTACCAAAGACGCCGGATAGGCCGACTACCGAATAGTAACTGAACATTCAAGACTGCTATATTTTATAAAGCTAAGGTTGTTTACAAAATCTCGCGGGCTAGTACTATAAATAATTAATGTATTTTATTTATTTTGTTACAGCCTTTGAAAACATTTTTATTTTTCACATGTTATGTGCACATGAAGGCACTATATAATTTAAAAATCGAAAATAAATTGAAAAAAATTTTGAAAAAAGAGCATGCACGGTAAGCTGACGCTGACTATCAATAAGTTGAAAAAATTCGACGCTGTGGGGTAGGAGTCGGTAGCTCAATTGGTAGAGCAACAGCACTGAACGCTGACGATGCCGGTTCAAGTCCTGCCCGAGTCGAAAAGTTTTTTCAATTTATTTTCGATTTTTAAATTGTTACAGCCTTTCAAGTATTACATAGACAATTAATTACGAGCATTAACACTAGAGATGGGCCGAGTAATCGGTCCATCTCTAGTGTTCGAGTCGGTACTCGGCGGGTTTTTTACTACTCGTACTCGGCCGAATAACTCAGTTATACTTTGTTATTTGATAACGAGTATACTTTGTTTAAGAAAAGCAATATATTGAGGTAGATATAATCAAAACAATCAGTAATTACGGATTTTTTTTTAAATTTCAATTTTTAAAATCCTTACTATGCTAATGAATGAGTAGTAAAGAGACAAAACTACGAGAAGATGAGAGCGAGCCGACGTCTTGACCGGCGCGAACTTTTCGTACTTTTTTACGCGCGCTTGGGAAGAATTTGATTGAATCGAGTTACTCGGCCGAGAACTCGGTTGAATAAAACTTGAGCCGAGTAAAACTCGGTACTCGTTACTCGGCGCATCTCTAATTAACACTATCACCCCCCTCCCCCTAATTTTTGGTGACGTTTTGAGAAGAGAATCTAAACTTAATAAAATGTATACCTAATCAAATCTTTCAGACGAGTATCGAATGCACTTGCCAAGGGCCTGGGACGATCAAAAGGCCATTCAGATCGTGATATACGCTTCTTGCAGAGGAGATCAGGATCTAGAGAGGTAAAGCATCCGTAGGTACAGCATCCGAAACGTCGGGCCGTAGTTGAAATAATTTTCCAAATTAGTTTAACAAATACATATTGGGTTTCAAACCGTTCAAGTGTTTTATTTAAATATGTACTACTCGCGTAAACTATAGACAGTATTTAACTATTTGTTAGTTAAAATTGCTCAGTGTCACGGACATCGAAATGTGTGTTAACCCTGTTCCCCACAGGGGAAAATGAGATTTCACTATTTACTATTACTATCCACAGGTACAGTCAGAAGGCGAAACAGGCGGTTCCCTTGGTACAGAGGCGCTCGCAGCACAAGTGGCCAGGTTCAAGAGAGTCTCATTACGAAAACTTAGGGCTTGGCGTTCCTGAGTGTGGCAGGTAATTTTATGCTCATACAAACCAAATTACCTCCTTAAAGAGGATGTTTAATAGATAACCTAAACGCTGATCAGCAACCTCGTCCAGTCCGCCAAAAATCTTTTAATTTCTAAAAATATTCTGAAATGTTCTGTATGTATGTGTACAATAGTAAAAAAGAAATTGCTAGTTATAAAGTAATTACACACTATAAACCGTAACAAAAAGAGAAAGAAAAAGGAAATATATGTTCAGTAAAAGATTAGATTGAATCAGGTATTTAAATAGTTTCTTTCTGTTCTTTCTTTAATCTTTTTGTTAATATTAATTGTTTTTTTCCAGGTCTTTCGCCGGCTTGGCTCAAGTCTGGCACACCATCGTGCATCTCTGTCTTCAGATTTGGGTTCACTATGGGATTTCTTCAGAATCGATAAGGAAAGACGTCGCTCCACACAAACATACGAGCCAATTGACTCCAGATCCCCTGTTAAACTTGCCAGAGATCTCCTTCAGGTCGTCCAAGAAACGGTATTTAGCAAGAAGTTTGAAGAGAAACGATGCCCTTTGGTTAAAGAAGAATCAGATTTAAGCTCCGACGAAGAAGAAGGTGCGGATAGGAGAGTTGCTAATCTAATAGACTTTTTCTTTACTATAGTTAAGAGCCAGAAAGATGAGAGAAAAGGCAGCGGCAGTTGTTTCAAAACAGAAGCCAGTAAAGAAGAGATATACGTCCCGGCGAAAGTTAATACTGAGTTGGAGCAAAAGATGGAAACGTTAATAGAATTTTTAGCCTCAACCGGTGTTGAGGAGAACAACGAGAAGAAAATAACACTAATGGAATTTTTATTCGGACCAGACGACAAATGGGAGAAACCAATAATAGAAATCAACATGAAAGGAATGAGTTTGTCAGAGTCCGATATAAACGTTAAGAACTTATCTTATATAGATGAGACCCCGGTTGAAGAGAACGAAACGCTTGTTGAAATGCTGCTTAAATATATGGAGAACTACAGTATTAAAGAAAAATCACTTACCCCTTCCTTATCCGAAAAATCCAAATCCGATATGACGATAAGCAAGTGTGAAAACAGCGACTTGAGTAAGACTAAGTCAGATTCTACTCTGCTAACACAAGACACTGTGATAGAGAGGGGGGATAGATCGAGGAGAATCTCCGAAACGGTTGTCGACATGAGTCATGTCAAAACTGACCTGGAAGACATCTTCGAAGAAGCTGTTCTACGGGTTTGTGAGTTGCAAATGATGGCCGATGACACCATGAGCGAACAAGAAGATTTGGACAACTTTAATACGTATACTAAACCACCACAATACAGTTTACCGTACAGCATAGAGCTTTCCGATATTTTGGAAGAAGATGAATCAGCCTTTGACAGGTTGTCTCTAGATAGATTGCAAGCTAAGGAATGCGCAGAGGATCTCATGAAATTCATAGATGACAAAGTGCAAAAACACTTCGAGAGTAGTTCAGGCCCCTCCACCGAGGACTTCAGTCGTGAATTCGATTTGAGTCCCAGTTTAAAATCACAAAGCCTGGTCGATTTAAGAAATATACCAGATCTACCGCCGAGTTTGATCATAAAGCCAAAAGTAGTGAGGGTGGATAAATCAACATCGACAGCCGACATCTACGATTCGCTCCTAGAGAGAAGAACGGACTCTTTTTGTATGACTGATGAAGCTAAAAGCGAAAGAAGCGAACGGGCGTTGGATAAATTGGAATCCCTACATAAGTTCTTTTCTCGTTCTCGTTTAGAAATAATTGACGAGAGCTTGGAAGATAACGATAGGAAGAGCCCAAAATTAAAGAACGGCGAACGTAAAGGCCAATCTAGTCTGGATGACGTTGAAGACTTGATGGATGATAACGACAGAGCGGAAGTAATTGAAAGACTAGAAAGAGTCGGTGTGAATGCGGAAAAGAAAAATGATGGAAATGAAGAGAAAAGTTAATAGACGATATAAAATGGAAACCGAGAATGTTTTAAATGGATATATATCATCGCAGTGATGAAGCAGAAATTATATTAAAAAGTAAAAAACACGATACAGAAGTCAAAAGTAAACTTGAATATGGCGTTATATCAAAATAATACAGATCGGAAGGTTTGAAGGGACACAGTGGGAGTCGGATAACCTAACGACCTCCGCAGAGGGGGAAATGGGTGAAATGGTCAGCAAATCGCGTGGACTGATCGGTGTCCTCAATAGGAAATAATATATCAATATAAAACTTGTAGCGTGATGCGTTATATTCTAAAATGAGAAAATATACAACATATAATAATTAAGATACAAAATATATTAAAAATCAATTATTATATAAAATCTATTTGGACCGATGTAAATTGAATGTAAAATATAAATGTACGGGCCACGGGAGTACCTTATCTTGAATTACAGATTGAACAAGATATAAGGCACGGGTGGGAGTCGAAGTCGGGTCACAGCGTGACAATTGAGCAACAGCTGTAAATCCCGCCAGTGTAATTTTTTGGAATAAAATCGAATAAAAATAATGAGAACCTAAATTCACGGGTCGGTATAGTGAGATTTTAAAAATTTAGTGAATAGAGGGTAGTTTTAAAAAACATTTGTAAACATTTGCGGGTGTTTTTGTTATGTTTTCATTTTATTTTCGTTATTAAAACTAATTCTAAATAAATGTTATATCGACAAAAATGTATATTAAACTCTAGCAAGTGTTTACAAAAATTTTACGGCGTATATATCATAAATTGAATTTATAGCAATTTATTATAATGAATTTTATACTATTAATATGTCGGTAGTTTTGACTTATTTTCAATATTTCTATTAGCGAACAGTTAATTTATTTTTTACAACTAATAAAATAACTATCATCCGAATATCCAAAGCATTTTGTTTACATGTTATATTGGCTTGGGTGTTTCAACTACCGTCAAGTGAAGTGCTTGTCTGTCTATCATGAAAAAATATTACACAAGAATTAATAATCTGATCACAAAAAATATATAGATTATTATATGGTTGTAAAACAATTAAAGAACACAGAACGAGAAAATAAGTCAAAACGAGTATTAAAATTAATTAAAGATATTTATTAGGAAATCGGTGTTTTATGTTCCTTTGTGAAAACTTGTTTGTTGGACCAATAAAAAAATATAAGTAATTACATCTAAACTAATACATAAAGCTGAAGAGTTTGTTTGTGTGACGCGCTAATCTCAGGAGCTACTGGTTCGAATTAAAATTATTTTTGTGTCGGTTAGAGTATTTATCGAGGAAGGTTATAGGCTATAAAACAATGCCCTGTGATTAATAGGGGGGAAGAAAAATCGGGTATTGTGGAAGAAACGGGAAAAATCATCTTAGTAAGTTTCCGATGCGTGTGCTGCAAAAACAGTCCAAGATATCCAAAAAATATGAATATGGGATGATTCCTCTTTAAATGTTCTGAAAAATGTAAAAGTTAACTATATTTTCCGTTTTAAACAGTTATAAATGATTTATTGAAAAATACTGTGTTCGACGAAAGTATTTTTCCTCTTCTTTATACTGAGTGTTGTAAAAAAAAAATGTTTGTTTTTTTACTGTTGTTTTTTCATAGACCAAATAAAAGTCTGCGTCGACCTTTCCACCGATTGTAGCCTAACGTTATAAGAAAGAGATTTTTATGTGGTTTCGTCTATTTTCTTAACAATGTAAAATAAATGTGTTTCCACTTGCAAATATATTTTATAAATGAAATACAAATTTAATGAACCAAAGCGATTCGTTTTATTTACTAAATTCTTAAGTTAATGGTTATTGAAAAAATATTATGTAAAAGATGTATACTGTATCATTGACTTTCGGGCATCAGATTAAATGAAAAATATTTTTAAACCTACGAGCAATCGAGGAGTTAACACCTCCTGATGCTGCCGTCCACACGTGATGGCAAAACGTCGAGAACCTCTTCTCGCTCACGTCGGCCGAACAGCAGTGTAATCTGTTTTGTAACTACGTTGTAACGTTTAGCTTACATACAGAAGTGACAAGTGACAGTTAAAATTTTTTATTATTATAACAATATTTAAAATCCTATACAATATTGGTGGAATGGTAGCAATGTAGGGCTAATAAGATCCACCGGGTCTATGTTTCTAGTCAATTTATAATGTTTTTAAAACATGTTGTACTTCTTCTGGAAATCTGGATATAAAAAAGGTGGTAGGAATATCGAAATTCCGTCCAAGTTCTGAACCGCCGTCCACAGATTAAGCCGTGAAGTTTCGTCGCGTTTCAGTCTGTGACTTTCAGAATATCCAAAACCGAAATAGGTCGATTACGCATCTCGTTTAGATGTTATATAGCTAGGGTATTTCAGCATCAAATAAACCCGACACTTGTCCTTCTCCATTGTAAAAAATCACTTTAGTAAATTCACATACAATCATAATAAACAAGATTTTGTGGTTTTGCTGAAAATCAGTGTTGTAGCATAAACTTTTCTTTTTATTTGGAGGAATCTAATCTTTACCGACGCCCCCTCCTGGCCACAAACAGTGACGTAGGGTCAGCCAGCTTGGCCACTACCCACTATACCTCCAAGAGACCACGGGACTTGCCGGAGCGGGCGGTTATTGCCTTTGACCCACATGCCCGCGCCCGTGATTCCCGCGCGCGGCTCGCCCTACGTGACCGGTTGATGGCCACGACTCCAAGCTCGGAGTCGAGGCGGACATCGGGGCCGCCCAAGTCTCCTCCTTCGGAGAGCAGGGGCGTCGGGAGCGTGTCAATAGCCATCTGCGGAGCGTCGTCCGCACTCCTAACAATTCCTGCCTCGATGGTAGGCAGCGATAAGCCTACGCCGAATGCTCCGGCCAGGGCAGTCCTCTGATGTTGTAGCATAACCGTGCAGCGCCTTATGCTGACGCAAAACCCTTTTGGCATCACTATTCTTCAAATTAAATTTAATAATTTCATTTATTTCTACTATTAATGAATGTACTAAACGAATGCTGAATAAAGAGATTTATTATTAATAAAAAATATAAAACTTAATTTTGTTTAATTATTGGTACTTTATGGCCATACTTCATTTTCGATCCACTGCAAATAATGCGATACCCTCGTGTAGATACCAGGTTCGCCTGCAACACCGCACCATTTGCCCCACGAGGTTATACCAATAATCCAATACATACAACGGACGTTCGGCTGGTTTACTTGTAAAGGACCACCGCTGTCTCCCTGGAACACAAATAATATAAACGTAGTCGTACCATCGTCACAATCTTTATAAAGCTGAAGAGTTTGTCTGAACGCGCTAATCTCAGGAACTGCTGTACGAATTGAAAGGTTCTTTTTGTGTTGGTTAGAGCAATTATCGAGGAAGTTTATGCCATATAATAAGAGCAAAAAACATTGGGAAAACCGGAAAACGGGAAATTATGCATCTTTGTGGGTTTCCGTTGCGTGCATTGTGAAAACTTCAAAACACCTAAAAAATATGTTCGAGACAGTACATAAATTCAACACAAAAGATTTTTTTCAATTCGAACAAGTAGCTCCTGAGATTAGCGTGTTCAAACAAACAAAAAAGTGAAGTCTTCAGCTTTATATTATTGGTATGGGTATATTTTAACTACGGCTAAACGTAGACCCTCCATCTTCAGTCCCCCGTGGCCACAACTGTTGCAAAGCATCCGAAATTTCGGGCTGAAGGAAAAAAAATGTAAATAACCTAATACATTTGAGAATTTATTTATTTTTACATGTTATTGCACATGAAGGCTATATAACACTATATAATTTAAAAATCGAAAAAAATTGATTTTTTTTTAATACGCAAATGTTAAGGTTGAAGTTACATTGCGCGAGAGGTGCATGTATAAATTAGTTGAAAAAAATTGACGATGACGTGTAGGACTCGGTAGTACAATGGTTAGAGCAACAGCACGGAACGCTGACAATGCCGGTTCAAGTCCTGCCCGAGTCGAAAAGTTTTTCAATTTATTTTCGATTTTTAAATTCTAATGCCAACATAATAACGTCCAAACCTTGCATTTTTATTATACCATCCAGAATTAAACCTAAACCATTTTGATTTTTAAAACATTCGGCGTTTTACACCGTTTAAAGTGTTTTATTTAACTTGGCTAAGTCTTACCTCACAACTATCCTTGTTTGAAACTCTGTCTCCATAACAAAGCTGGGTCTCTGCGTCATAACCCTTGGCCATGTGACGAAGATTTTTAAACTTTTTGCTGCATTCGCTGTCTTCGAAGCGGGTCACAGTTGCCTGTAAACAGTATTTATTGCTTAAGCAACTACTTCTTATAAGAACGACGCAGCGAAACGTAACGCGTTACGCCAGTTAGTCTTAGTTACAATTTCAAATATTTCCGAAATATCGAGCCTTAGTAAATAACTAGTAACTAACTATAGAGCCTTAGAGACTAAAAACAAGTCATAAAATATAATTCCCGTTTCAAACCGTTAAGAATGTTTTATTGAATGATTGTTTTTAAACCACATATTTATTCGGCTCCATACATTTGATAGTCCAATTTCAATTTGAGTAAAAATAATCCTGGAAATAAGATGTAAGTACCTCTAATAGCTAAAATTATTGTTTTATTAAATAGGACGACAGCGCACAATTTAGACGCTACACGGCTAAAGCATTCTTTTGAGGATAGAGGAGGACCGACAGAGGTGTTGTCGATCTATACTGGTTTTGGACATTCAGAAATCCTCAGACTGAGACGTGATGAACTTCACGGCCCTTATGGTGGTTCGTAACCAGCATAGCATTTTTTATCACCGAATTTTACAGATGTACTCCGACATGTTTGAGTTGGTGGGGATCGAACTCGCGACCATATGAGTCCCGTGAACGGTGCGTTGAAGTACGAGGAGATGGGATCCAACCATGACCAGTAGACCCGTCTACAATCCCAAAAACCTATTCTTACTTTTTGAAGAACTTCAGGCACCTCCCTCTGACGAAAGACTGTCGTTCCCCACCCCGTGATGACTGCGCTGTCGTTGGACAAGGCACCACCATCGTGCAAGCAAGCTGGCACCACGTACCTGCTTAACTGAATACTGAAAAAAATATATTTCGCTTTTATTCGATTTTATATAGCTGGGGTATTTTACGTACATAGTTATAAAGTACATAGTTTAATGAAACTGTACTTTACCTCAGTGTTGTCTGTTGTTTACGCGAGTAGTACACATATAAATAAAACACTATTAACGGTTTAAAACGCGACAAATATTAGTTAAACTAATTTGAAAATAATTTTAACTGCGTTCGTAAGTCTCCCCGTGACCACGGCTCCTGCAGAGCATCCAAAACGTCAGGCCGTAGTTTAAATAATTTGCGAATAAGTTTAACTAATATACATCGAGTTTTAAACGGTTAAAGTGCTTCATTTAAAAGAACGATTCGTTTATATTACAGTTTAGTACAGTCGTCCCGTCGTTAAAAGCTAATCTTTATACATATATCTATATTAACGACGGGACGACCGACGTTGTATGTTGAATTTGGATGCCACAAATAACTACACGCAGACAAAGGCGCGGCCACAACAAGTATTGCTTACTCTCTGTCTGTCTTCAGTAGTGCTATGTCATTGTATTTGGAAGGTGGTTTGTAGTCCGGGTGTTTCTTGACCGTAACATCATACTGTCGACTTGGATCACCATCGTCCTTGGACTTCAGAATACCCACCAGAATCTTCTTCACTACTCCACTGGAAACAAAACGTTCAAGATCATAAGTTACATTATTCTAACATACCTACGTAAGCGATGACCGTTCGCGCTTACTCTGTACAACTTAAATAAACCCATTAATTAAAATTTAAACACAGTTACCGGTTTTAAAACGGAAACGACGGGTTGTGATTAAAAAATATATTGCGTTCTAAACCGTCAATTGTTTCATCTATGTCTATACTAATTAAAGCTACAGAGTTTGTTTGAACGCGCTATGAACTACTGGTCCGAATTGAACAATTATTTTTTGTGTTGTTTAGAGCATTTATATTTGATGCCCAAAATAACTGTTCTATGCGGACGAAGTCGCGGGCATAGCTAGTTTATTAAAAAATATCAATTATACTCACTGAGACCTGCTGGACGAGCAGTGGCCGGCGGTGAGAACAAATCTTTCGCTTATAATAACACCACCGCACATCCACACAATACTGCCTTCGCCGTAACCGAGGAGAGCCTATTTGAGATGATAAGAGTATTGTATTGTCTGTAATTTACACGAGTAGTATCATAATTAATAAACACTTTTAACTGTTGTAAACGCGAAATATATTTAAAGTAATCACATATAATTCGAGTATTAAACAGTTGAGAGTGTTTTAAATAATTAATATTATCTACGGCCCACTGTTTAATTCACAACTATGTAGTTAAATTTTTATTTATTTCGTTTTTTAAACCTTTAAAAATGTTTTATTTAAATGTGGACTACTCGCGTAAACAATAGTCAATACTTATGACACTGTTCACGATTAAGTTAGGTATTTATCACTTTTAACTGTTTAAAACAAGAATTATACGTGATGAATTATTTTTTAAATAATTCATTTTAACTACGGCTCGACGTTTGATATTAAAAGCTATTTAAATGTAAATACAAGTTAACATATCGCGTTTTAAACCGTTAAATCTTTATTCCTATGACGTACTAACCATGTGGGGGAATTCTCCATCTTTAGCGTTCTCCCCTCCAGTTATGAGACCTTCTGGCTCCCGGTTGCATTGATCCACGCGCACCATCCCTTGCGTGGGCCCAGGCCGACAAGGGTATACGTACTTCTCTTGGTATTCGAGGCATTCTAGAAATTTTGTAAGACCGCCTCAGTAGTTAAACGTGTTGCCTAGCTTTGCGTTAAGCAATGTCCGTCCTGGGTTCGAATGCCCGGTAAACAATAAACCGATCAGTGAAATGGATACAGAAATGTATTCGCCCCATGCCCCACGGGGGTAAACGGTATTTTTTTTTAGTTTGTTAAGTAGAAAACAATCAAATGTTAAAGTATGTCTGAAATTAAAAAAATCTCGCTGTACTTTGTACATGTTACCTTTTGGAAATAGTTTGAGATTCGGATTTTGTCAACATCTGCCTCAGCATTTACGAGTCGAACGATAACAAACATGCAACACATACTTGCCTTAACCTAGGCTCTGTAAGCCTTTTTATTGTAGAAGACGACAGAACAAGATGTGCTGTCGTCTTATTTTGGTTCTCGGTATTCGGAAATCCACAGACTGTTAACGGATATTTCGGAATTCCTACTACTATTCAAATATTTAAAAAAATATAAATAGATTTGATTAACATGTTGAATCCTATTATGGGAGATTTATTCATAATGTTTAAAAGATGATAATAAGGATACGTTAAGGACAAGTAAATCACGACTTTGTATGCGCATGAGCAGGAAAATACATCCTATTTCAAAGAAATTAAAATAAATCAATGCTATACAATATTTACTAATAAGAGGTGGAATTATATCGAAACAAATCTATTTTACAAGCTATTGCCGCGACTTCGTCCGCGTAGAATAGTTATTTTTGACATCCGAATTCGTTTTTGCTAACCGCCTCCACATCTTTATGAATTCAAGATAGACAAATAGTGTCGCAGACATTTTTTAAAATAAATTAAAATAATAATCTTTCTATTATACATATTTTTTGGGTATATAATAAATATGTTTGATTTTATCATAATATTATTGTAAAAAAAAAATAATTGAAAACCTATTTTTTCACAGGAAAAATCGAAACCTTAAATAAAGTCGTAGGACACATATTCATTCATAGGATTACAACAACTTCATTCTCACTAAGAATTTAAATATTTTCACATTTTTTGCACATGATGGCATTATAATGAAAACACGATTTTAGAAAAAAAAATTACAACACGCACAGGCTTGAACCGACATCCACAGCGTTCCGTGCTGTTGCTCTAACCAATTAACATACCCTATACGTCATTCGTCAATTTTTTCAACGTATTGATACATGCACCTCTCGCGCAATGCAATTTCAACCTTGAGACTTACGTATTTATCAAAAATAGTAAGTAGTATTAGTAAATAGTCAATTTTTTTTATAATTAAGTTCTTAGCAATGCGATTTATTTTCATATCATGAAACTAAACCCGTCCATGGCAGAACGGCTCCGGGTCCGAATCCCGGGAAAAGGCTTTTTTTTCCCGGGTTCGACCCAGAGCCGTTATCCTCAGTATTGACACTTTCAAATGCCTTCAACAACAAAGGTCCGCAATTAATGTATGTGTGTGTCCTACACGTCATCGTCGATTTTTTTAAATCTATTGATAGATAAGCCACCGCTCGCGCAATAAAATTTTAACCTGATACGATTATCCCCAATCTCCCCTTACACAATTGTACGACGGGCTCGTTGGTCTAATGGTAGCAATCTATGACTAATCCCCACCAATGTTTTAAATAAATCATTTTTCTGAAATATATTGGACTTCGTCTGGAAATGTGGATAGTAAATGGGTGGTAGGAGTATCGATTCCGTCCGGGTCACGAGCCACCGTCCACAGATGAAGAGGCCGTGAAGTTTAATCGCGTTTCGGTTCCAGTCTGTGGACTTCCGAATATCCAAAGCCAAAATAGGTCGACAGCGCAACTGGTGTGGATGTTATCTGGTTGTGGTTCACCTCCCATCAAGTGCACTTCATGCTTGTGTGTACTTCTCTATCATTAAAAAAACAAAATTATCCCCAATCTCCCCTTACACTACACTTACTGTCGTACGCTTTCCTGCCCGTCCGTTCAGCTATTGGACACTCCAAAGAGAATTTAACTTCCACTGGACGTTGAGTTGTCGTTGTTTTTCTGTAATATACAACATTGATTTGATTTTTAAAATTCTTTATTTAATAATGGCTTACATTAGACTTACCCTAGTGTACATTGAACATATCCTAGATTAGCCACAAATGGGTTTATATACATTAATATTGACCAAGAATATATAATAAGAAATAATTCAATACTGTCTATAGTTTACGCGAGTAGTACACATTTAAATAAAACACTTTAACGGTTTAAAACGCGACACGTGGTCACGGGATGACTCTGAAACGTCGGGCCAAAGTTAAAAATCATTATCAAATAATTTTAACTAATATATCGCGTTTTAAACCGTTAAAGTGTTTTATTTTGAAATAATTCAGTACTGTGTTCACACCATTGACATGTTTTTTATTTAACAATATTAAGTATAAGCTCTAGTAACTACTGAGGGTAGATAACTATTTCTAAAATGTATTAGTTACAATACTTCAAACTTTATGCAAAAAAGAAGCACACATTGCGTAAACAATTACGACGGAGTACTGTGTCGCATAAACGTTTGCCATGTCACATAACATTAGGTAGATGAAGAGCTCGCAAATTATATTAAAAATAAAATAACGAATATATTTTACGTTTTAAACCGTTTTATTTAAGTTTATTAAGAAAGCTCCGTCAAAGTAATTGTAAGGTGAAATCTAAATTAAATGTTTGAAACCGAGCAGATTAAATCAAACGGTTTAAAACGCAGTTTGAATGGTCACGTTGGTCTATTATAATAAACGGGTGTGGGTTCGATCCCCACCGTTTTAAATTTATCATCTTTCTGAAACACGTTGGACTTCTGGAAATCTGGATATGAAAGGAATATCGAAATTCCGTCCGGGTCGACCACTGGCCACAGATGAAAAAGCCGCCAAGTCTAATCGCGTTTCAGACTGTGGCTTAAATACTGTCTATAGTTTACGCGAGTAGTACACATTTAAATAAAACACTTTAACGGTTTAAAACGCGATATATTAGTTAAACCTATTTGAAAATGATTTTTAACTTGGGCCCGACGTTTCGGATGCTTTGCAGCAGCCGTGGTCACGGGGAGACTCCCCATGACCACGGCTGCTGTTTAACTAATATATCGCGTTTTGAACCGTTAAAGTGTTTTATTTAGACTGTGGATTTCCGAATATCCAATGCCAAAATAGGTCGTCAGGGAATATTTCGGTATATCACCTACCATCAAGTGAATGTAAATGAATGTAAAATTAAAACTTATTTTGTTAGAGACCTTCGTTCGTCTAGCGGTAGGACCCGGTGGCCCAGTTGGTTAGCAACGGCACGGGACGCTGCGGATGCCGGATCAACACCTACCCGAGTCGTTTTTTAATTTATAATCGATCTTTAATATAACATATATTTTTAAAATGCTTTGTTAATATTCATACCTGCCTCTCCCCCTCTTTTTTGGTGTAACCGGTTCTGGTACCACCGTCTCACCACAGCATACAATGGGATCAAAATTTACAAAACCACAAGGCTGAAAAAACACACAATTTATGATTAGGTATTGTCCGTCGTTCACGCGAGTAGTACACATTTAAATAAATCACTTTTAACGGTTTAAAACGTGAAATGTATTTGTTTAATTGTTTCTATTTCACTTTTAACGTCAGACCACAGCAAAATTAAATTAAACATAAATTCACTAATATATTTTGCGTTTTAAACCGTTGAAAGGTTTTTTATTTAAATGTATACTACTCGTGTAAACTACGGGCAATACTACAGAGTATTTTTACATTATTTTGTATGTCTGTACCTACGTATTTGTACCGAAGAATATTACTGTTAATAGTATAAGTATATAGTTAGGTTAGTCTGCGTATTAGTTAACTTAATTTAACTATGGCCCGACGTTTCCGATGCTATGCAGTAGCCGTGGTCACGGGGGATTGACGATGGAGGGTGTCCCTAATGTCAAAGGCAAATGTCGAAACAACGGGCCGTCGTTAAAAAAATGTTACCTAGTTAAAAGTAGTATATAGTTATTATTTCGTGGAATTTAATTTCCTTTAATATATTTATTGATTCAGTCTTTTAAAAATAATGGTAACAAGTACTGTTGGTGGTGAATGTCTTTTAATATCCTCCAGAGCTGATGGGCAATTGGTGATGGCCTTGCACACCCCCTGAGAACCATCCTTTTTGGTACAGCTGTCTCCTATAAACGAAATTCGGATTACATACCTGTGATAAATGGATGTTATAATAGTAATAAAAGTACTTAAGTAATTGTTATATACAAGCAGCGTCAGCGACTTCGTCCGCGTAGAAGTTATCGTGGCCATCATAATCTGGTTTTTGCTAACCTCCTGTTCAACTCTATGAAGTTAAACGTAAAATATAGATATATACTATCGCTGACATTTTTTTTAGATTATTTAATGAGGAATCATTGAATACATATTTTTTGGGTATAATCCGCTTTCGCGGCGTACGTAACGGAATAGACAGACGGATGTTTATTTCTCTCAAAGTCGTCTGCCCTAATAAATAATTTGACGAAAGATTTCAAACGTCTTTCGTCATTACAATAATCAGCTAGACAGTTGTCGGCGAAAGGGCAGAGATCCCACAGAAAGATTTTCAAATTCGAACCAGCAGTTCCTGGGATTACCGCGTTCAAACAAACAAATAACTCTTCAGCGTTATATTAGCATGGAAGTTTGATTTGATTTTTAAAATCTCGGGTATTTTTTCATCAAACGAACACAATATTATGGCAGACACGGAACTGTGCCTTGACAAACATATATAATACTTCTTATTTACCTTCGCTTAATGAATTGGCATATGCCACTAAAGATATGATGCCTACAATATTGTAAGTCCACATGACGGATCACCAGTTTCTGGAGACAAAAATGGACAATCAGTTAATAATTCTAACAGGTAGATTCTAAAGTTCTTTTAACGGTTAAAAACGCGATATGTATTAGTTATACTTATTCACAAAAAAGGGGGGGGGGGGGAAAAAAAACCCCCGGGGGGAAAACCCCCCCCCCCACAAAAATTTTTTTTGGGGTTTCCCTTTTTTTTTTTTTTGTTTGGGAAAAGAAATTATTTGAACAACTGCCCTAGTTAGTCTAGTTCTAGGCTAGAATTAGTTTCAGAAAATTTCGCGTTTTAAACCGTTAAAAGTATTTTAAATTTGTACTGCTCGTGTAAACTATAGACATTATTTATTGACAATCGTCATTGTCTGTATTTACGCGAGTTATATGCATTAAATTAAATCCTTACCTAAAATGTCTTACAAACATGCTGGACGTGGTGGGAATCCAACCCACGACCCATTTATACATTTCTACCATATAACCAATGAGGGCGTCAAAACTATAGTACATATATATTATACTTAGATAGGTATATTAATAAATTTTTAATATTTGGGACTACCTTCCATCGAATATAAATGAGAAAAATATCAAATACTGTCTATAGTTTACGCGAGTAGTACATATTTAACGGTTTAAAACGCGATATATTAGTTAAACTGATTTGAAAATGATTTTTAACTTCGGCTCGACGTTTCGGATGCTTTGCAGAAGTCGTGGTCTCGGGGAGACCCCCGTCTCCCCGTGACCACGGCTATTATATCGCGTTTTAAACCGTTAAAGTGTTTTATTTAAATGAGAAAAATATCAAATTATTTAATCAAACACTATTAACGATCTAAAACGCGCAATATATTTGTTAACTTATTATAATATGAATACTAACTTATTTACTCTGATACTATATATATATTTCGCGTATCGAACCGTTCAAATTGTTTTTGAGTTTTATTTAAATGTGTACTCGCGTACAACAGACAATAAAATCTAAAACTCGCTTGATAGCCAGTAAGACGAAATAAAATTATTTTCTACAAAAATATCCTTTACGTTAGATAAAAAAGAAAAACTATATTTTAACCTTCAATCATGGATGCGTTATTTATTGATTGAGCTAGAAGTTATTTTTTACGCTAAATCAAGTTTACTGGAGGAACAAGTCTCAGACAGAACCGCCTCGTTAATCCATTGGTTAGTAATACATGCTTGTTAAATACTGTCTGTAGTTTACGCGAGTAACATATTGAAATAAAACACTTTAACGGTTTAAAACGCGATACATTAATGTTAAACTTGTTTGGCTATCCGTGACCGCGGCTGCTGCACAGCGTCGTACGTCGGGCGGTAGTTAAAAATAATTTTCAACTAAGTTTAACTAAATGATATCCTGTTTTTAACCGTTAAAGTGGTTTATTTAAATTAATGGCGCATCTTGCAATAATGTGTGTTCACTTTCCCGAACCTCTCACCACCTTTTCGCTTTTAAAGCAATAAAAAGGTAAATTCGTTTGATTGAATACGCGTATCTCAGGAAGCACTTGTTCGAATCATAATTTTTATAGCTGTTACTAACGACGCCGTCGTTCTTGTGAGTTAGGGGCCGTTCAAGTATTACGTAAGCAGATTTATTACAATTATTTACCCCCCCCATCCCCCTTGTCAGCAAAAGTAAGCAAAGCTTTTACCCCCTCCCCCCGTGCTTACGTAAACATTTTTCAATTAAAAATGTGGTAGTTGCCATTCGTGTAAAAAAGTAAATAAATATCGATGACGTAATCATCATCTGGACTCCCCTACCCCCCATGTCATCAAAAATAAGCAAAACACAGACCCCCCCACCCCCCTATAGTGCTTACGTAATACTTGAACGATCGCTTAGTCTTAAAAGGTAGACATATTGCGGACATTTTTTAAACATAAGATACAAGAATCGTTCTTTCCTGAATATTTTTTTGGAATTTTGAACCGTTTTCACAGCGCACGCAGTGGGAACCCTCAAATATCCACGTCTCTCTATGTTGCTTCGATCCTATATAGCTTGATGTTTTATAGCCTAAATCCTAACTCGATAGATGGTCCAACCAACACACAAATAGTTTGAACCAGTACTTCCTCAGATCAGCGCATTCAAACGAACTTCCAACAAAAAATCTTGTATTTAACAGTTTAAAACGCGATGTATATAAGTCAAACTTATTTAGAAAATATTTTTACTATCACACGACGTTTCGGATGCTTTGCAGCAGCCGTGGTCACGGAAGCTATTATAAATCGCGTTTGAAACTGTTAAAGTGTTTTATTTGAACATGTTTTGAGACTAAAGTTCGCATACTAACGAACTGTGCGCTATTTTAATTATGACTTTTAAACTTCTCGAGTATCCTTCACGCTTCTCACTCGAAAACCAGATACGATTAATTGCTTTGTTCCAATGCCAATTATATATTAACTAGCTGTGCCCGCGACTTCGTCCGCGTGGAATAGTGACTTGTGGTAGAATTTTGAATATTTAGGCTGTTTATTAATTTATGTAAGGACGCAATTCAGGCAGCCAATTTATGTTGTAAGTCTTACCCATCCGCAACACTCTTACCTCACATCACTCTTTCTCTAACTCCCACTCTCATTCCTACACTCACTCCCACTCCTACGTATATTCACAAAAAGCCAAAGAAGAAAGTTTCATTGTTCTAGCTTCAAAAACCACGAATTTCTAAACAAACTTCTATCCCTTTTTTCAACCCCCTACACACATGTAGTATACGTTTAAAAATATTGAGTCTCCCCGTGACCAAGACTGCCAAAGCATCCGTAACGTCGGGCCGAAGTTGAAAATAATTTTCAAATAAGTTTAACTAATATATATCGCGTAATATTATAATGGCAATAAAAAGCTTCGAATTTGAATCTTGATTAATTAAGAAATGTTCACCAAGACAGACATTGGCCGCGTCTTGTCGTTCTTGGAAGTTAAGTTTCAGTATCTTAGGCCACAAAATGTTATGTATTATAAAAATAACCCAAATAGTTTTTAAAAACTTTTGCGTTACATAATAAACCGTATCGGTCACATTTAATCATCAACGTAACGTAACGTAGCCTTGTAACGCAGAAATACGTATTTCAAAATCAGATCAACATGCAGGATATAAACGCAATAGTCACAAATAATACAATTTATTTACGAAGCTTTACGTAAGTTGTCTTTGTATTTAACGCGAGTAGCACACATATTTACCGGTTTAAAGCGTCGGGTCGTAGTTGCAAATAAATTAATTTTCGCGTTTTTCTAATCCATAGTTAAGCTTTAAGTCTTGGCATATATGTTTTAGTTTGCAATATATGGTTTTAATAGCTGTGCCAGTGACTTTCGTCCGCATATAATTGTTATTTTGGGCTTTGAACGTTGTGTTTGAAACCTCATCTTTATAAATGCAGTTACCCACAACGTCGGTCGCATGCCATTGTTCTTGCAAGTTAACACTAAGAGAGTCATAAACTGTCGCGGACATTTTTTTAGTTTATTTAAAGAGGAAACACTCTTTCATACATATTTTTTAGGTATCTCGAACCGTTATTGCTGCAATAACGCAACGAAAGTCCTCAAAGGTTAATAGTTTTCCCCGTCTTTCCACATTTCCCACAATTTCTTCGCCAATGTTGACCGCAGGAGTGGTTTATAGCCTTCCTCAAAAAATGATCTCCCCCAAAAATAATTCCTAACTACCAAATTTCTTTCTTCCTTCTTTCTTGCTTTCTTTTCACAATAACAACAACCATTCGGTCACAATTCGTTTTCCGTGTTAAGCAAATGCTTCCGAAATTCAAATTATGGACACTCGTGTTCAACTCTTCAGCTTATAATATTAGTATAGATTAAAAAAAATATATTACTTGCCGGTCTGAATATTTACTTTGAGGAAGACGTATCAATCGCCGGGTTCTTGACCTAAACGAGAGGTTAAGAAAGCCGACCCAACCGAGTTTTTGCGATAGCAGTTTTAATTATGTCGCGAATTATCGAACCACTCCTGCGGTCAACATTAGCGAAGAAATTGTGGGAAATGTGGAAAGACGGGGAAAACTATTAACCTTTGAGGACTTTCGTTGCGTTATTGCAGCAATAACGGTTCGAGATACCTAAAAAATATGTATGAAAGAGTGTTTCCTCTTTAAATAAACTAAAAAAACTGTCCGCGACAGTATATGACTCTCTTAGTGTTAACTTGCAAGAACAATGGCATGCGACGGACGTTGTGGGTAACTGCATTTATAAAGATGAGGTTTCAAACACAACGTTTGATGCCCAAAATAACAATTATACGCGGACGAAATCACTGGCACAGCTATTAAAACCATATATTGCAAACTAAAACACATATGCCAAGACTTGAAGCTTAACTATGGATTAGAATTTAGAAAAACGCGAAAATGAATTTATTTGCAAATGCGACCCGACGCTTTAAACCGGTAAATATGTGTGCCACTCGCGCAAAATACAAAGACAACTTACGTAAAGTTTTATACATTTTATTACATATTTGTGAATATTGCGTTCACATTATGCATGTCGATCCGACTTAAGTCCAACGCTCTGCGTTACAAGGTTACGTTACGTTACGTTGCTTTGATTAAATGTCAAATGTGACCTATTAGTTTTGATATCTAAACGCAAAAACATTTTTAAAATATTGGGGTTATTTTTATAATACATATTTTGTGGCCTAAGGTACTGAAACAGCGTAAAACAAAATAACTGACCCCAAGAAAAACATTCATGACAGCACTTCAATAAAACATTTTAACCGTTTAAAACCCGATATATATAAGTTTCCATTGCTAGTCTCCCCGTGGCCACGTCGGGCCATAGTTAAAATAATTTTTAAATAAGTTTAACTAATATATATCTCGCGTAAACTGCAGACAGTATTTATTCAATAACATTTTATTAAAAACTTTTAACTGTTTAAATCGCGAAATATATTATTTAACTTATAAA